TGCAGTCGTCTGGTGGCAGACCATCCAACAGATCGCCAAAGACGTTCGTCAAGAAGGCTGGGGTTTAGGGTTTAGGGTTTAGGGTTTAGGGTTTAGGGTTTAGGGTTTAGGGTTTAGGGTTTAGGGTTTAGGGTTTAGGAGTGCACCATGCTTGTAGCTGGGAAGTGAGCCTTTGCCATGTCATGAGTCATGTCATGGTTTCCCCGCAAGTATGGATGGTAGCATCCACGCAAACTCTACCACGCCGGACCCTGAGATGAGCCCCTCCAAAACACCCTTGAAGCCCTTGGTCACCCACCCATAAAAACCCAAACCCCAAGCTCCCTAAAAGCCGAATCTCCAAAAGCCACCGGCCTGCTACAGAGGCCTAGGCCACGTTCTGCTTCTTAGGGTTTAGGGCTTAGGGCATCTTCTTGTGGACATCTATGCAACGAAAGCACCACTTTAGTCCACAAATCTGTGGGCGGCCGCACATGCTGCACCTATCGCGCAAGTTCGATGTTTCGAAAGAGCCGATTTTGAAGCTTAGAGCTCCTTTTCGCCCAGCCACGACGATGACCACCCAGAACATGACCCATCAGGATTCAGGGCTGCGCCCTGACATTCAATTCAAGGCAAATTCAATTCAGCTCCAATTCAAGTCAAATTCAATTCAATGCAGTTCAAGTCAAGTTCATTTTCAGTTCAATTCAATTCAATGCAATGGCGTCACATTCTTTGTCTTCGCGTGAAAACAGGGGGGTGGGGGGCTCTCCAGGCACGGGTCTCCAGAGCCCGGCACTCGAACACACTTTCGACTCCCTCAAAGAGGAAAGGCACAGCCCCCCCCCCCTTGGGATTTGCCTTAGTCAGACCCTCGGGTATTGCGGGTAGAACTAACACCAACGCCATTGAAGTGCCCGAGTTCAGAAGGCTCCCCTAAACCCTATAGGCCCTAAACCCTTAAAGGCCTTTACGGCATAGCCCTGGAGCCCTCGCTCGTTTGGCAACATCCTCTGAAGCTGCTAGGACAGCCAGAAGGGAGCGAGGAGCTTATCTCAGGCGGGTACTGGGTACTCGCAACCCCAAAGAACCCAACTCTAGGTTGGCCTCTGGGATGATTTTCTATTTTTCTTATGTGGGTTTATCAGGGACCCTCCATGCTAGGTTGGCCTTTGGGGTAGTTTTGTGTGTTCCTTAGTTTGGGTTTAGAAGGGACCTTCCACATAAAGCCATTTTTCGAAAGGGCTTTGAGGCCAACGCAGTCCACTCGAAGCACTGGGTGCTTGATTTCGGGGTTTCGGGGCCTTCGGGGGTGAGGGTTTAGGGTTTAGGGTTTAGGGTTTAGGGTTTAGGGTTTAGGGTTTCGGGTTTAGGGTTTAGGGTTTAGGGTTTAGGGTTTAGGGCTCTTTTTCAACACCTTAGGAACACATAGTTGGGTTTACTGTCTTGTGGACTTTTGGTAGATGACTCTAGCATCCTCCCTGCCTCCTTCTACGCTCTCCGAAAGTGTGTGCGCCTTGTGTCCTTGACCCCGTATTCTGAAGCTTCAGATTCTACCTTTCAAGCACTAAGCACTAAGCCGTGGAAGGTTTTTCACGACACAGACTGGGGGACTGTCACTTTTGCTTTGAGTCAGCTTTGATCCAGCATGTTGATAACCCGAGCCCCCATACTTCCCCCCGAACCCACTGGAAGAAATTCGATCGCAGACGTCGCGTTCAGGAACACTCTCCCCACATGGGCTCCGTGTTGTCACGCCGATCCCGACATACGATTGAGGAGGAGCGTCCGCGGAGTTTGAAGGCTTAGCTTCAGGGTTCTGAGTGGCATGCAGCGTCAGATACTCAATTCTGCGACGCCTGCACGTCTTTGAAGATAGCGGCATCGAGAAGCCATGAGAAAACTCTCCCTGAACTGAACGGGCTGACCATACGCCATATGACTGGAAGATTGTGGGCATTTGCACCAACAAAAGCTTCCTTATCAGTTTTCGCGAGAAGTGTTGAAGCAGGGTTCATATTACCGTTCTTGGTGAGTGTATACAAGGTTCCTTTTTAATATTGGTGCGTGTATTTATTGGGTGTCCTGTTGGGGATACAAGAAATATGAACCCTACTTCATCTCAAGGCTTGACAGGGGTCCTTTGCAATCTAGTAGACCGCTGGTCTGTGGCTCTCTGTTTGCAAGCTCCATGCGCCTTCACCTGTCATCCAGAATTTTGGGTCTAGACTTCTTCGGCTGCTTTCCGGCTCTATATACCCTGAAAACCCTAATAATATGTACATATATATATATAAACAACGAAACTCGATAAACAAATCAAGCAGGGTCGGGTCTCAAAATACCTGGCCCTCATGGTGAAGTGGAGCCTCAGCCAAGGCTTCCATTCTTGCTTGAGAACCCTGAAGCCCTAAAAGCCTCATAAAGCCTAGTAGACCCCAATTAGCCCCATAGACCCTGGTCGACCCTAATAAGCCCCAGAGGCCCTAGTAGACCCGACTGGGCCCATGTGTCAAGCAAGAACGACTCCAGCATGTTCGCGTTGTTTCTTTGGCACGCAGCCGAATTTCGGAGTTTTCGAAATCGGGTCTGGCACACTCACACGAAGTTTCGAGCCTGTTTAAGATGCTTTTGCGAATGAGAAGTCGATGGTTATGCCGGAAAATCCCAGCCATATTTCTTCTGCGTAATCCCTATAAACCTTATACACCCTATAAGCCCTGTAAACTCTGTAAACTCTATGAATGCGATAAGCGCCATAATTCAGCCCTGCGAATCCCATAAACCCTCTATGCCTTATGAAAACCCTAGAACATACCTAAAAGAACCTTCTAACCACCCTATCAAAATCTTAGAATAACCTCATACAGCTTTTGTGTGGTTTGAATATGGGGGCCGTAGTATAGTAGGGATTCAAACAAGGGACCACCATTTAGAGAACTCACCATATGGTCACTTCTCAAAGATGTGGTCCCTTTTGGGGTCTCTACTATATATAAGGCGGCCACTCTGATTTTTTTTGTTTGGGGTTTCGGGTCCCAAACCCTACACCCTAATCCCTAAACCCGACGGGTACCCGACAAGGGACCATGCTTTTGAGAGCTCACCTTTGGGGTTTAGGGTTTGGGGTTTAGGGTTTAGGGTTTAGACCCTGTAGACCAGAACCACCCCAAACCCTCGGCCTGAATTTAGAGCGCCCAGCCCCACAGCTGAGTAACCCTGAGACTGCCCAGCTTCGATCTAATGGGTTTAGGGTTCAGGGTTTAGGGTGCTTCAGGAATCCGAAGTGAACATGAAGAGCAGTGACGAGGACGTCGTTGCACCAAGAAACCCCACAGCTTGCAGCCAGATCATTTTGCTCTTTTCTCTGCCCTGAACCCTGTAAACCCTAAACCCCTAAACCCTGAACCCTGTAAACTGTAAATTTAAGAGCCTCCGGCTCAAGCCGCCGACCCCGCTGGAGCATAGTTGAGAGGTCTAAACCCGCTCGCATGGTTCGAAGATCATCCCAGCCTGCTCGGCAGATGGGTGGGTGGGGGGGGTGGTGGGGGGGGGGGGGGGGGGGATTTTGGAGGGCGCCCCTACCCCCCTGTGCTGAACCGCCTGTTTACGCTGTGCGGGTGGCGCGGTCCTCCACGAAAAAATTGTGCACCGACCCCCCCGTTTTGGGGGGGTAAGGAGGGAAAGAGGGAGGTTTTCACCTCCTCAAACCCATCCAACACGCCGCCAGGGTCGGCGGACCCTAAACCCTAAACCCTAAACCCTAAACCCTAAACCCTAAACCCTAAACCCTAAACCCTAAACCCTAAACCCTAAACCCTAAACCCTAAACCCTAAACCCTAAACCCTAAACTAAACCCGAAACCTGAACTCAGAAGATGCATGTTGTGCACCGGACCCCGTTTCCATAGGCAGCCGAGTCATTCAGACTCCGGCTCAAGAAGTGATGTCTCCAGTTCTAAGTTTGGAGATTCGACAGATTGGGGTTTAGGGTCTAGGGTCTAGGGTCTAGGGTCTAGGGTTTAGGGTTTAGGGTTTAGGGTTTAGGGTTTAGGGTTTAGGGTTTAGGGTTGCTGGAAAGTTTCCAGAAAGGGACTTCGTCACTGGTCCATGCTGCTAGCAGAGGACTCCGTCGTCTTCGAGAACATTGCATCTTGGCAACGCCAGCGCTTTCCCTAAACCCTGGACATGGGGAGGATCTACGGAATTCCTGATGGTGTTCAAGAAGTGCTAACTCCACCCCCAAGCCACTCTCTCGAGCCTACTAGCGTCTGCAGGGCAAGCATGTTCAAAAGAAACCGTTCGCCTAGAGAGCAGCAAAATCAGAGTAAAGGGTTCAGAGGGTGGTGAGCCAATATCGCTTACTCAAGCAGCGTGCTGTAGTCTGCCCTAAATCTTAATCTTGAGCACTAGAATTAATTGGGGGTACGTTCCTCAGTGTTGGGCTTCTTCGGCTAGCATGCCGGGCATGCGGCGGGTAATTCGGTTTCCAAGAAGGTTAGAGTCCTTGTGTCAATCCATTGAAACTGCTCAAAAGGTCCATGACCCGCAACGAGGCCACTCTCACCGTCCCGACCCTCCCCACCCTCGCCGCTGGAGCACCTTTCCCACTCTCATCGCCCCGACCACCTGCCCCCCCCCCCCCCCTCCCCCCCCCACCGTCAGAAGGTATATATGTTAAGGGGCTCCAGGGTTCGCCACCCCCACCACTCTCACCACCCTCACCGCCCTTTCGCCCCGCTTCGCCTTCCCCTTCCCCGCTCCCCGTCCACCCTCACAGGGTATACGTTTTGGGGCTCCATCGCCGGCCCCGGCTGCCCCTTCATGATCTTATCTTCTTACCTCTTTCAGATATTTTCAGATGGAATGCCAAAAACTACTTGTTTCGTTGGGAATGACAAAGAGGCTCCAGCGCCCAGCCGACTCTCACCACTCCCCTTTCCCCACCCCTTTGCCCCCAGCTGGTAGCAGAGTCCCTTCCCCCCCCCCCCTTTCCCCTCAAGCACTGCGTGCAAGCCATGCGCACGTGCGCGTGCGATCTCTTGATCTGTTCGAAGGTGCGGGCCCGATACGGGCTAGGAAGTTGGCCTATAGGCCTGTAGGGCTTGCATGTGTTCGCCCCATTACCAATGAAGAAGTGTGGACCGCAACATCTCCCGGTAGTTAAGCCACCTACCTCAACTTTTGGGTATTTTAGGGTTTAGGGTTTAGGGTTTAGGGTTTAGGGTTTAGGGTTTAGGGTTTTACCCTAAACCCTAAGCCCTACACCCTAAACCCTGAACAGTACTTGGAGTCTCTGCAGCATCCCAGGTTCCAGCGGCAAAGAAGAAGAACTCCCAGCCGCTTGCCTTTAGTGGCCTCCTTTACTTTGAGCATGGACTCGAACAACCCTGAAGCCTCAATCTGCAGACCTAAAATGGCTTACTCGCCTCTTTTCTTGGGAATTCGATCCTGAGATGAGCCCCTTTAGGGAGTTCGGACCCCCCCCTAACTGCCTAATTCCCTGCTAAGAAGCAGCAAGCCTCTCAGAAGACTCGGCCGATGTGGGCAGGACGGCTGCCAGCATAGCGTTGCCATCTCTGGCCACGAAGCGGAGGCGCTGGAGTCGACACTCCCATTTTTTGGGGTCTTGTAGGGTTTAGGGCTTCAGGGTTTAGGGTTTTAGGGTTTTAGGGCTTGAGGGTGGAAGTTTAGGCTTTTAAGGCTGCCAGGCGTCGACTCAACTGTTTGTGCGTGCTGTATTGAAGCTTGATCCAGGGACTAAAGGCGGGACCCTCATAAGGGACCTTGGGGGCAATGTAGGGGCTACCTTGGTACATAGGGACTATGGAAGGTATATATGGGGTTGCATAGGGGAATAATATTAAGGGTCCTTTCTAGGGGGTCCCTCCCTGTATCAGTCAAGTTGATGGCCCGACCTGCCATGATTTGAGTACCCAGCTGATCAGCTTGACTTCCGCATGTTGACCCATGTCGACTGCTATTTGCCTGCCGGGTCAAATCTGGCTTGTGTTGAAATCCGTCAGCCTGAGTCGATGAGTTGTGCGGGATCTGGGCCCTGTGAAAGGCGTATGTCGTGGTTCACGAAGCAGTCCGAGCGAAGTGGCGTGGTGATGAGGCAGATGCAGGCCCCCTCCTGGTAAAGCATGCCGGCTGTCACAAACCCCCGCTCAGAAGGCCATAGTTTTGACCACTGCCCACACACCAAGCATGAAGCCCCAAACTTTCCTAATCCTTAAACGGGCGGGGGGGGGGGGGAGGGGTGTTCAAGCAGCGCCAGGGAGTTCGGGAGTTCGAGCTAAGTTGGGATGCTCCCCCTATACTAGCAGTCCTTCAAAGGGATTATAGTACCCCCCTCCCCCCCCATAATAATCCCTACTAAGGACTGTTAGTATAAGTGGGGAGCGTCGCAATGTATAAGCTTTCATCTGTACACTGCCCTCGGGCAGAGATTCCTGAGGTTTGTATGCTGCAGCGCGGCTCGGGTCGAGATAAACAGCTGTTTCCAAGTCAAGGTTTAGGGTTTTGGGTTTTAGGGTTTAGTGGGTTTAGGGTTTAGGGTTAAGAGTTGTAGGATTTAGGGCTGAGTCTGCACCAAACAGGGGGTGGTCTTCTTGTGCACCGCTTGAGGCCTTTGCTGCTGCCAAGTAAAGTAGGACGGTCGCAGTGAGTCCCGCCCAGCCAAACCCAAACGCACATGCTCAACTTCAAATCCGAAAGTACGGCTTCCTGCCCACATCCTCAACCATCCCAAGCCCTAAACCCTTACCCTGCTGAGACCATGCCTTCAGCACTTAATGTGACTCCACTTGTCCTCCTCAAGGCTTCACTGAAGACGAAGCCCCGGGTAGCAAGGCTTTCCCACCGTGAGCAGGCGGGAAGCTTCTGGAGTGTTAAAACACGTGACACTCAAAGCCGTATAAACCCTCACTTCTCCATCCCAAACCTTACCAGAACACTACACACCCCAGACTACGAATAGCATAAGAACCCCCAAAAAAGTTGAAACATATTCCTTCTTTTTAAGGGCAACATAGGGATTAGTGTTGTTTTTTGTGTGTTTGGCGGGTTCTTAAGCAAATAGGGGTTTAGGGTTTAGGGTTCAGGGTTATGCTTGAGCTTTCTTCCTCCCCGGCCCGGGAGCGCGCAATTTGAAACTTTGTGTGGAAAAAGCCGCTCTTCAATTGTAAGCGGCACAAGTGATACACAGTAGTACCGCATGGTTCCGGTAAAACAACTCGAGGTTCTGTGTTTCCCCATCTCAGATGAAACAACCAGCCCTTCGGACGTGCCTGAAAATCTGAGGAAAAAAGGGCTTTAATCGCATCTACAAAATACAGTTTAAAAGATGGTTTGTATTGCAATGGGAACAGGTCTAGTAATATAAGGTCACCCCCCCCCCAATGGACCCACCGCGGGCCTTGATCTTTGCAAAAGTACCGCAAATACCGATAAAACCTATGCTGTCTGGTGATTTTCCGGTGACCGGATTTTTGACTGTATTCCTTAATTCACCCTCTCACACACGCACGGAGGGTTTTTCTTTCTGTTGGCTTTTGTTTATAATTTAAGATCTAGGCATTTAAACCTAAGCCTGCAAAAAAAAAACCTTAACCTTTAAACCCTGTAGGGTTAAGGTTTAAAGGTTAAGGGTTTAAGATTTAGGCATTTGAACCTATGCCGGTAATTAAAGCTAAGCCCTTAACCTTTAAATTCTATCGGGTTGAGATTTTTACAGGTTTAGGGTTTAAGATGTAGGCATTTAAACCTAAGCCTGCAACTAATTTTAAACCCTTAACCTTTAAACCCTGTAGGGTTAAAGTTTAGAGGCTTAGGGTTTAATATTTAGCCATTTAAACCTGTAGCCAAGCCCTTAACCTTTAAACCCTATAGGGTTAAGATTTTTAAAGGTTTAGGATATAAGATGTAGGCATTTAAACCTAATTAAGCCTGCAACTAATTTTAAACCCTTAACCTTTAAACCCTGTTGGGCTAAGGTTTAAAGGTTTCGGGCTTAAGATTTAGGCATTTAAACCTATTCCGGCAATTTACGCTAAGCCTCTAACCTTTAAACCCTATAGGGTTAAGATATTTAAAGGTTTAGGGTTTAAGTTTAAGGTTTAGGTATTTAGACCTATGCCGGCAGTTCATATTGAACCCTTAACCTTAAACCCCATAGGGATGAGATTTAAAGGTTTAGGATTCTTTACTTAGACATTTAAATCCAAGCTGACGATTCAACCTAAACCCTTAACCTTTAAACCCTATAGGGTGAAGGTTTAAAGTTTTAGGGTTTAAGATTCAGACATTTAAACCTAAGACAGCGATTAACACTAAGCCCTTAACCTTTAAACCCTATAGGGTTAAGGTTTAAAGGTTTGGGGTTTAAGATTCAGGCATTTAAAGCTAAGTATGTAATCAATTTGTCACCCTTAACACCTCTAAACTCTGTAGTGTGAAGGTTTAAAGGCTTAGGGTTTAAAAAAACCTAAGCCCCCTAAGCCCATAGAGTTTAAACCTTAAGGGTTTAAGGTTTACGCATCTATTCCTTAATCCTAAACCCTCTAGGGTCAGGACCCTAAAGCCCTCGGCAATCAAGCCTAAACCCTTGACCTTCAAACCCCATAGGATGAAGGTTTAAAGGTTTGGGGTTTAAGACTTAGGCATTTAAACCTAGAGGGCATTTAAGCCTTAATCCTAAACCCTTTAGGGTCAGAACCTTAGCACCCTATAGGGGTCTAGCACGTTCAAAGGCTTGAACCCTACAGGCGCTGAAGGTATACATGTCCTATCGGTTTTTAAACCATTACACCCTGTAAGAAGGTTTAGGGTCTTTTCGGGGTCTATCTCTAAATTTCTCACGGGGTTAACCCTGCAGGGTTTAAAGTTAAAGGTTTAGGGTTAAAGGTTAAGGCAATACCTATAGGATTAGAACCTTATAACCCTGTAGTGCATGAGGCTTAAACCCCTTAAACTTAACCATCTTTTTCTCGAGAAAACCAAAAAAACCAAAAAAAACCAAAAAAACCATCTTTTCCAAAACTATGGGGCTGGGGCCTCCAAAAGATGGTTTTTTTGTTTTCTCGAGAAAAAGATGGTTTTTTTGGTTCGAAACCATCTTTTTCTCGAGAAAAAGATGGTTTTTGAGCAGCCGCTCTTCGAAAAACCATCTTTTTCTCGAGAAAAAGATGGTTTTTGGAGATCTTACCCTGGAAAAACCATCTTTTTCTCGATAAAAAGATGGTTTCCGGAGGTCTTGTCCTGGTAAAACCATCTTTTTCTCGAGAAAAAGATGGTTTTTGGAGGTCTTCTCCTGGTAAAACCATCTTTTTCTCGAGAAAAAGATGGTTTTTCGAAGGATGGTTGCTCAAAACAATCTTTTTCTCGAGAAAAAGATGGTTTCGAACCAAAAAACCATCTTTTTCTCGAGAAATCCAAAAAAACCAAAAAAAAACCAAAAAAAACAAAAAAAACATCTTTTCCAAAACTATGGGGCTGGGGCCTCCAAAAGATGGTTTTTTTTGGTTTTCTCGAGAAAGAGATGGTTTTTTTGGTTCGAAACCATCTTTTTCTCGAGAAAAGATGGTTTTTGAGCAGCCGCTCTTCGAAAAACCATCTTTTTCTCGAGAAAAAGATGGTTTTTGGAGATCTTGTCCTGGAAAAACCATCTTTTTCTCGAGAAAAAGATGGTTTTTGGAGGTCTTGTCCTGGTAAAACCATCTTTTTCTCGAGAAAAAGATGGTTTTTGGAGGTCTTGTCCTGGTAAAACCATCTTTTTCTCGAGAAAAAGATGGTTTTTAGAAGAGCGGCTGCTCAAAAACCATCTTTTTCTCGAGAAAAAGATGGTTTCGAACCAAAAAAACCATCTTTTTCTCGAGAAAACCAAAAAAACCATCTTTTGGAGGCCCCAGCCCCATAGTTTTGGAAAAGATGGTTTTTTTGGTTTTTTGGATTTTTTTGGTTTGTTGGTTTTTGTTAGTTTCTTGTTTTGTTGTTTTTTGCCTTGATCTGGCTAGGACTCGGCTGCCATCCGCGGTGGGTCCATTGGGGGGGGGTGAGCTAATATAAGTACAGTACATGTAGTGAATGCTCTGTGTTTCGGGTTTAGGACCCCGAAATGGATTGCCGCCCAGAAGAACAAGGCAAGGAGTCTTGGTAGCGCAGCCTGGGGCTCGTAAGCCCTAAACCCCAAGCCCCTAAGCCCCTAAGCCCCTAAGCCCCTAAGCACCTAAGCACCTAAGCACCCTAAACCCCAAACCCTAAACCCCAAACCCCAAACCCCAAACCCCAATCCCCAACCCCCAACCCCCAACCCCCAACCCCCAACCCCCAACCCCCAACCCCCCCCCAACCCCCAAACCCCAACCCCCAAAACCCCAACCCCCAACCCCCCCAACCCCCCCCCCCCCCCCCAAACCCCAAAAACCCCCCCAAACCCCAAACCCAAACCCCAACCCCCAAACCCCAAACCCCAAACCCCAACCCCAACCCCCAAACCCCAAACCCCAAACCCCAAACCCCAAACCCCAAACCCCAAACCCCAAACCCCAAACCCCAAACCCCAAACCCCAAACCCCAACCCCCAACCCCCAAACCCCAAACCCCAAACCCCAAACCCTAGCCTGCCAACACCGACTCGTCGGTGCTCTGGGGATTCTGGGCTTGGGTCGAGGCCGATCCTAGGAACTCAGGAGCCCAAACCCCTCTAAGGGTAGTTCCATGGGCCCTTGATTATGCTCCCCACTATTAAGGGACCATGTAGACCACCCCTCCCAAAACCCCTGAATCCCAAAGAACCGAATCTTCGACCCTCAGAAGGGATTTGTTCCCCAATTTGCGGGGGTTACGCCTTTTGAACATCTTCAATCAGAATAGAAATCCCCTCCCCTAGGCCCTATAGGCCCTACAGGCCCTATAGGCCCCAAAGGCCCTAAACGCTAAACCCTAAACCCTAAACCCTAAACCCTAAACCCTAAACCCTAAACCCTAAACCCTAAACCCTAAACCCTAAACCCTAAACCCTAAACCCTAAACCCTAAACCCTAAACCCCCATTCTCCTGCACATGTGCACCGCGGCCAGGAAGAGGCTGTTAAGTCGGCCCCGGTGTCCGGGGGCCTCTTTCGCAACCTCCACAACGAGTGCCTGGGACAGGATGGTTTGGGAAAGTTTGGGTTTAGGGTTTAGGGTTTAGGGTTTAGGGTTTAGGGTTTAAGGGTTTAGGGTTTAGGGTTTAGGGTTTTAGGGGGTTTAGGGTTTAGGGTTTAGGGTTTATCTTGGATGGTTTGGGAAAGTTTAGGTTTTCATTTGATTTTCACTACCCATGGGTTTAGGGTTTAGGGTTTAGAGTTTAGGGTGCCTCTGTAAAGGAGGGGGTCTTTGGTTCTGAGCCCCAAGCATTGCGCAGAAGCCATGAGCGACTTTCTAGACAAGACTGACGAGCACAGCACCGACAAGGAAGTTTCACCTATCTAACATCCCAAGCATTCTTTCTATTCTTTATTGATGTGACATTGAGGCTTCTGCCGTTTACCATCCGGCAGAAATCAACCCTAGACCCTACACCCAAAAACCCTAAACCATTAAACCCTAAGCCCTAAAACCCCAAAAGACCAAAACCCTTCTGCTTTGCACAGCAGCCTGAGTTTACAGACTCGAATGACTAGGACCCGGAGTAGGCCCTTATTGCCCTGGGCTTAGGTTCCCGTATAATCCCCTTGAATCCAAACAGGGCACGCTTTTGATTCCAAGGGAACTCCTGGGTCTGGAAGCCCTAAACCCTAATTGAACACTAAATCCTTATAATCCCCTTAAAACCAAAAAGGGTACCCTTGCTATTCCTCAATTAAACCCTAAATCCTCATAATCCCCTTAAAACCAAAAAGGGTACCCTTGGGTTTAGACTCTAAACCCTAAACCCTAATCCCTAGACCCCCAAACCCCAAACCCTGTGGTGAGGTACTCCGTCGCCGCGGTCAGAAAGAATGTGGAAGACGGGCTCGAGCTCCTTGGGCCTATTGGGCCTAGAGGGTGCTCAGGGTTTCGGGTTTAGGGTTTGGGGTTTGGGGTTAGGGTTTAGGGTTTAGGGACGGCGGTTATGGGTGGTTGTTCCTGAATGATGCTCCCTGGTTGGGGTTTTATGTTGTAGTTCGTGGGCAGTGCTCGAAATTAGGGTCCCCTTCTGGGTCCAATACGGCACCCTGAATGTAAGAACCCCAACAGGGGACCCTAATTCGGAGAACGACCCATATTATAATATTCAAGCAAGGCCCAGAATGTAGAAACCCGAGAACCTGAAAACCAGTTGAGTCGGAGAACCTGATGGTTGTCGAAGTTGGGGGCGATCCCTTTGCAGGGTTTAGAGTTTAGGGTTTAGGGTTTAGGGTGTAGGGTTTAGCGTTCCAACCCCAAAGCCCGAAAGGCCTACGAAACCCTAGGGTAATAACATGGTCCCTTCATATGAAACAGCTAGGACCCAGAGTAGGCCCCCATTCACTTTTTAGGCGGGAGGTTCCCTTATCGATCTCCTTTAAACCCAAACGGGCGCCCTTCTTATGCCTACTCGTAGGTTACTCTTTGGTCTAGACGAGGTTATGTCATTGGTATCGGTGAGTGTATTCAGGGTTCGTTATAGATATTGGTGAGTGTATATAAAGGATGTCCTTTTGGGGATGCGAGTACTACAATCCATACCTCATACCCTTACCTTCCGAAGTAGGGGCCCTTGGCTTTTTTGGTATAGGGTATATAAGGGTTTAGGGTTTAGGGCTTAGGGTATAGGGTATATAAGGGTTTAGGGCTTAGGGTATAGGGTATCGGGTATATAAGGGTTTAGGGCTTAGGGTATAGGTTATAGGGTTTAGGGTTTCCAAAACTAATAAAGGGCCCATGAAACTACCCTAAGAGGCGATGGGGCGACCGGGTACCCCAGGAAGAACATGCAGAAGAACCACACAGGGAGAATGGTTCTGGTTTGAAGAGCACATTTCAAGGGTTTTAGGGTTTAGGGTTTTGGGGTTTAGGGTTTTGGGGTTTAGGGTTTTAGGGTTTTAGGGTTTAGGGTTCCCCAGGCCCTGCACTGCCCAGGTGCGGACACAGAGAGGAACGCCGGAACCCTGAGCCCCAAACCCCCCCCCCCCCCCCCAAGCCCCTAAACGCTTAAACCCCAAGACCCCAAGAGTTGGGAAAGAATGTACGGGCAAACCTTAAAACCCTACACAAACCCAAAAAAAACTTTGCAACCTATAAACCCCAAACCCCAAACCCTAATCCCTAATCCCTAAACCCTAAACCCTAAACCCTAAACCCTAAACCCCACAAGCTGTTGAGGTGGGATCGTATGGAGAGCCTCCGAGCTGAGTGCTTCGGACTTTAGGGCTCAGGGTCTAGGGTTTAGGGTTTAGGGTTTAGGGTTTAGGGTTTAGGGTTTAGGGCTAGGGTTTAGGGCTCCAGTACCTGCTTGTTGGGGTTTGAAGCTTCGGGGTGGATGGCTTTTGGACTTTAGGGCTCAGGGTTTTAGAGTTCAGGGCTAGGGTTTAGGGTTTAGGGCTAGGGTTTAGGGTTTAGGGCAGAGAGACCCGAGCGTAGGTGCCTAAACCCTAAACCCTAAACCCTAAACCCTAAACCCTGAACCCTGAACCCTGAACCCTGAACCCTGAACCCTAAACTTAAACCCTAACACCCTAACACCCTAAAACCCTAACACCCTAACACCCTAACACCCTAACACCCTAAAACCCTAACTCAGGAACCGATGCATGGACATCGTGCGCAACCCGTGGTTTGAGCGCCTGACCATGACCATCATCTTCTTGAACGCCGTGCCTTCGTCGATCTCCGTGTGGAAAACGGGGACCTCGTGCTTTTTTGCAAACCCGGTAAGTCCTTAACCTTACTACTAGCCCCCTAAAGAATTATTTTATGTACATCCTCCCAGGGATTCAACGCAGTGTTTTTATGAAGGTTCTAAGGGGAGTATCGTACAAAACCGGAAAAACCCAAGACCCTGAAAGCCCTGACGCTCAAGGCCCTCATGGTGTGGGTTAGGACACCGTTCTAGGGCTTGGGGTTTAGGGTTTTGTGTCTGGAATTTATGTGAAGGGTTCGTTGAGCCATACCCTTAATGAGCCCTAAGCTGGATTTGGATCGCCTTGAAGATGTCGAGGTGGAGATGGCAATTAATGCGGAGCTCAACGAGTACACCGTCCTCACCGATGCTGACCCCTTTTTCATCGCTGCAGAGATGTTCTTCTGCTTCTTTTTCACGGCCGAGCTGGTGATGAGATTCTGGGCGGGAAGAGCACAAACCAGTTGCACCCTAAACCTTCAACTTTCAAGCTGGGGGCTTGGGCTCAAAAGTTGGATCCAACCTCAGGATATGCCACCTATCTGACCACCTGCCAAGCATTCAAAGACATGTGGTTCTCCTTCGACTTCCTGCTGGTTACTTGGTGGTGCTTTACTGTAACTTTACATCCTTAGCCTTTTTGGGGTTTATGGGTTTCCGATTAGGGCAGCTAAAAATATAGTTTTTAGCTACCCTCCTAAGTGCAGCCAAGGTTATACTCATGAACTTCGAGACATGGGCAGCTTGGCCCCAGATGCCCCGACCGTGCCCAGTACGGGGTTTCAACTCTGCTCCCCCAAGGCCATGCTTCCTGCCTAGATAAAGACATGTATACAGCTCTATCATGTTGTGTTATGGCACATTATATACTATACTATGTCACAGCGCAACCCTAAACCCTAAACCCCTAAACCTCGAAACCCCTAAACCCGTAAGCCCCTAAACCGCTAAACCCTAAACCCTAAACCTGTATACCATGCTACATTGAGGGAAATCGTAAGCTCAACCTTTTGGTTCCTTGGCTGCGAAATTGCGGTCGATGTGCTAGAACAACCCTGGGGGCCGACAGCCGTTGTGTGTTCAGCGAGTCTTGTTAGAATATATACAGTCTACACACATATACATATACATATACACATACATATTGCATATCTCTCTCTATATATACACTGCATACATATACATATTTTTTGAATATAACATATATATATATATATACATACTCACAAAGATATACCGCATTCGGTAAATAAAGAAATCATTATATATGTATATATATATACACATACACACACATATATTTTTCCGTATATACATATACATATACATATATATATACACAAATGTATATAACATGTATTTTCATATACTGTATGTAACACTCCTGAATTCGAGTGCTGGCCTCAGGTCTTTCCCATCGTGCAAGTTATTGGACAAGGAGGCGAATCCCTGAGCACGGCCAATGCTCTGCGGGTGGCGCGTGTACTTCGGGTTCTTCGAACCGTGCCTCGGAAGTGATCATAAGAGGGTTTAGTTGTTTGAACCCTAAACCCTAGACCCTGAACCCTCAACCCTAGACCCTGAACCCTAAACCGCCTGATTTAAGTTTTGCATAATTAGCTTGCTGCCCAGCTGTCCACTATCCTTTGGTGCAGGCGCGCATGGCCCCTCGGCAAGAAGTTTGCACTCTGTCACAGACTGCAGGGAGTGTTGGCGTTTAGGGTTTAGGGTTTAGGGTTTAGGGTTTAGGGTTTGGGGTTTAGGGTTTAGGGTTTAGGGTTTAGGGTTTAGGGTCAGCAGAGGCCCGGCTGGTGAAGCTGATGCCCGAGTTGATGATCCTTGTGAAGGGCATGCTGGTCGCCTGCCGATCTGTTTCTTGGTGGCCCACTGGTAGCCTTTTTCCTCCGTTTTTTGGGCATGAAGGACTTAGGTACCCTATATATAATCCCTTAACGGGTTTAAAAAACATATATATATATATATGTATATATATATATATATGTATATACATATATATATATATATCGACTTGGTGGCCCAGTGGTACCCTTACCCCTTTTTTTTTTAGTTCTGGTGTTTCCCTTGTAAAATAACCAACCCAACAAGGGGTGCCCTTCTTAGAATACGGTTGCTGGGCTACCAAGGTTTTCTTTACCTTGATCCTGCTTCTCCTCATCACCTTCGTCTTCTTGGCAGCTCAGTGGTACCCTTTTGCTTTTTTTTTGGTTCAATGCCCCCTTATACAGTGACTAACCCCCCCCCCCCCCTCACCCAAAAAAAGAAACAAAAAAAAAGGTACCCTTGTTGTAAGACGGTTGCTGGGCTACCCAGGTTTTCAGTATCACCTTCATCGAGTTCAGCCGTGGAAACCCAACCCTGGAGACTCATTACTTCTCTTCTATGGGCAACTCGATCATGACGCTGATGCTCGGCGCAGACCTCGCCAAAGGTTGCAAAAGAGTGAGCTTGTCAGACGGTGTCATGTATCATATACATACATTTATATCTATGTATATGTGTTTATTTATTTACATTTATGTACACAATACTAATCATAATCGAACATATATATATATATACATACATATGTGTACACGCATGTACAATATACCAGAAAATCACATCAACATGTATCGGCATGGGAAGGGTGACGGATCCTAAGGATCTTGAGATGCATTCTTCCAGATCAGGAGGACGCCTTGAAACACGGTTGAGGGTTTAGGGTTTAGGGTTTAGGGTTCAGGGTTCAGGGCTAGGGTTCAGCGTTTAGGCTTGCTCACTTGGTACATCTGCATCGGCTAGTCAGACACTATGCTTCACCGCTTCAACTGGCATCAACACCGCCATTGCCGGCCAGGTGTTCATCAACAGCATTTCCAGTGAAAGCTGGCCGTTGGCGGCACTGCTATTGCTCTTCATTCTTCTTGGATCATTTACTGTCAGGATCTCGGAGTGAGCACGAGCATAGAAGATCTGGGCCATGGTGTTTGCAGTTGCCGAAATCGTAGCCGGCGATGTCGTCGGCGCTGAAGGTGGTAGTAGTCGTGACTGTCTCTGATACTCGTGGTGGTGGTGGTGGTGGTGGTGGTGGTGGTGGTGGTGGTGGTGGTGGTGGTGGTGGTGATACAATTTGTACTGATATTGTGTCTATTTTTGCCTGTGTGATGCTGAAGATGGTCGAAGATAGATATCACCCTAAACCTCAGCCCTAAACCTTACCATGCGATTAGGCAAAACATCGTCCGTAGAGTTTCTTCCCTGTATCGCATTCCGGCTGAGGTCATGAACATGCTCTTGGGCGTCCTTGTGGAGGCTGTGAAAGCTGTTTCGACGATCGAGAGAGAGCAATTGGACGCAGACTTCGCCCGGAAAGCATCTCGGAAGAATCTGGCTTTTGCTAGGTTGGCCTTTGTTGCACATTCCTTATTTGGGTGTATAGCAGAGGCCCTGCCTGTGCGTTTTTTTCAAAGGGTTTAAAGGCCAACCCAGTTTGGCGCGCACACAAGTTCGGCCATGCAGAGCTTGGACGGCTAGCCTGAACCTTAAGCCCGGCCCGACACCCTAAACCCTAAACCCTAAACCCTAAACCCTAAACCCTAAACCCTAAACCCTAAACCCTAAACCCTAATCCTAAACCCTAAACCCTGCAAAGCCTGGACTTGGCTCTTTTTGGGGAGGTGCTGTGGGAGCTCATCGACAAGGAAGGAGACGAGGATGGAGACAACCTCCTCTCGGAGAAGGCGGGGGGATAGGGTTTAGGGTTCAGGGTTTAGGGTTTAGGGTTAGGGTCTAGGGTTTAGGGTTTAGGGTTTAGGGTTGGGAAGCCAGGCCTTGAGAAATCCGCCCTTGGAAGCTCCAAAGCTACACTCTTTATGGCTTAGGGTTTGGGGGCATTTAGCGTTTAGGGTTTAGGGTTTCGGGTTTGGGGTTTATAGGGTTTAGGGTCTAGGGCCCCCCCAAAACATATCCTATCAACCCCCTAACCCTCGCTCTCGCCAGGAGTTCGTGAACCTTTTGAAGAAGCCTAAGGCGGCCAAAGCATTGATGAGCCTAGGGGTGGATCCTCGGCTGTCGGGACACGAGTCTTTGGGTTTAGGGTTTCGGGTTTAGGGTGTAGGGTTTAGGGTTTGGGAAAATTGTATGGTGTTTGTGTCCGGAGTTTTGTGGGGTTTTGTCGGGTTTTGTTTTTTGCTTTTGTCATTTTGACTTTGGGGTTGTAGGGCTGGGGCTGGGGGAGTGCTGAGGGGCTGGAGGGGCCGCAGGGGCGGGGGGGGCTGGAGGGGGTTGGAGGGGCTGGAGCTGGAGGGGCTGGGCTGGAGGGGCCTCTGCTGGAAGGGCTGGGGGGGTTGGGGGCTGAGGGGGTGGGGCGGGGCGTTGGGGCTGGTAAGTGGGGGGGGGGGCTGGCTGAAGGGTTTGGCTAATATTTTTGCACTGTGAAGGATGAAAGATTATTGCACGAGCTGCTCGTAATGAAACACCTACAATTTCTATTTATCCTGGCCTTGAGGGTTTAGGGTTTAGGGTTTAGGGTTTAGGGTTTAGGGTTTAGGGTTTAGGGTTTAGGGTTTAGGGTTTAGGGTTTAGGGTTTAGGGTTTAGGGTTTAGGGGCCCAATACAGGCCTGTAAAGATTGGAATGGGGTACTTGGGGGTGGGAACTTTTTCAGTAGAACTAGAATTGCAGGGCTTCGAAGTTCGAAGAGAGTAAAGGTTCTGCCGTAGTGGAAGTTGTTCGACGCTTGCCCAAGCCGTGTTGGCAGATGGCAAGACGCGGGACGGTCGCGTCGGCAGTCGGCGTCAGTGAGCTTGGGGAACGCATACTATTATTTGCTTAAGAACCCTAAAAGAATGTCAAAGTAATAACCCCCATATTACCCCTAATAAGGAAGAACCTTTTTTTTCGGGCTTCTTAAGCAAGTAGTAGTCTAGGCTTGCTGGAGGACCTCTGAAGCCCTGCTTGCCGGTGCACTTGTTGTCTCAAGTGCTTGTGCAAGGTGGTGGGGGGGCTTAAGCAGGTAGGCAGATGGTGAAACCTGCTGCGGCACCGCCCCAGGGGTTGACCCCCCTACAGCAGCTCCCCGTAAGCAAATCCCGCAGCTCCCACAAGGGAGGGGTGGGGAAGGAGGCCGGATCCTGGTGAGATTGTTTCAGAAAGCCCCGTCGCCTGGAGGTCGAAGCGAAGTAGTTCGGCTCCGGTATGAACCTGCGACCTCAAACCCTACGGACTTTGTGGTCATGATTACAGGGCAGTGAGCAACACTGTTTGCACGTCTGAGCGCGCAAATTTCTGTCAGAATCAGGATACGACAGCGGCGTATGATTACGGGAAGCTTCTTTTCGAGGATGGCGAGAAGGCATCATTTGTGGATTTCATGCAACCTGGCATGAAGTGGCCTAGCAGGGTTCAATACTCTCCTCAAACTTGGGGGGGAAAGGTCAAACAGCTGACCCAAACCAAGAGCATCTGCACAATTTAGATTCCAACTCCAACGTGACCAGCTTTTGCGCTCGGGCATGATAGATGCGCGCGCATGTAGCTGCAGTTGAACGGGTCTCTATATTCGGGCCGGGTCCCTTTTAGGATCCGTATTCTAAGGGTGCCGTTTTTTTTTTAATTTTTTATCGGGTGCCTTACAATTAGAAGGGTCTCAAACTTAGAGGACTACCCGAGCAGTCTATATCCCCCCTGGGGAATTATTTTTCATTTTTTATATAAAGCCCGAGAGGGATATTAAACATATTTGTTTTAAATTCAGGTTCTAAGGGGAGTATAGTCAGTATAGTAGTCTCTAGACATGGGGTGCGCAGCCTCTGGCAAATCTCTGATGTCACGAGGCAAGCTATGCTGACCCTTCGTGGTTCCAATAAGACCACGGTGAAGGAGCTCTGGCTGCAAAGTGTCTTGAGCCCCAAACCCTAAACCCTAAACCCTAAGCCCTAAGCCCTAAACCCTAAACCCTAAGCCCTAAACCCTAAACCCTAAATTTGGTTTAGATCCTGGGATTCTAGCTTGGGCCCCTAAGGTTGTACCCTTGGGTTTTGGGGGCCCTTTGAAGCTCTTGGGGGGTACAACCTTTGCGATCCGAGTATGACTCCCTGCCCATCGTTGAATTCGGAGATTGCTGGAGTTCCTCAAGTCTATCTCGCCAACACAGCTACTCCAAACACTAGCACGCCATACACGCCCAAACAGCCCTGAACCCTACAGCCCTGCTCGGTCTCCGCTTGGGTTTGGGGCTTGGGGTTTGGGGTTTAGGGTTTAGGGTTTAGTATGCCCCCTTACAGCAGCCCGTGTAGACTGGTCGTTTGTTGCCTGCAAAGACCAACTCAGGGTGAACCGCTTTTCGTTGTAATATGTGCTTTTGGGAACATCAATTTCTCTGTTCAGTTTAGGGTCTAGGGTTTAGGGTTTAGGGTCTGATTCAGAAGGAGAGGAGGAGCCACAACCCTGTGGAAGCCTCGAGGCCCTCAACAAGCCCCGAAACGCTGCTTAAACCAAACAAGCCCCCCCAACAGAAACCCCAGCAACAACAACTCAACCGCAAACCTTTGAACCCTAAACCCTAAACCCCCTATACACCCTGCACGCCCCTAAGCCCTAAACCTCCCAAGTCACAAACCGACAAAGGACATCGTCGAGCTGCGCAAGTTCTTGTCCGAAGAGTTCCACCAGGTAGAGACTCTGGTTTGCCACTGGGCGATGGACATCCGACTCGCCATCCCATGGCGCTGATTCCGGGTTTAGGGCTTAGGGCTTAGGGTTTAGGGTGTTCAGGGTCTAGATGGTTTAGGGTTTGGCGCGGTGTGAGGCTGCTCGAGTTTGAAGCTCAACTCTTCTCGACCGAACAGAATCCCTGAGCGAAGCCCGCAGAGTCTCTCTGGCCCACCTCCGACGCTCCCTAGCCCCATGTGCTGAGCGACAGTCTAAGGGTAGTTACATGGGCGCTTAATATAGTCCCTTACCTCCCTGAAAGGGTTTTGAATTATGGGCCCTTGGGTTGCATAGGGACAATAAGCGGCATACCAGGGGTCTCCGATTAAGAGCCCATACTAAGGGACCATGTGACACTATTTTAAGAGACGGTTCCGGCGTCGACGAATGAAGTGCTGGGACCTCCTCTATAGAGGTTTAGGGTTTAGGGTTTGGGGAGTTTTGATTTACTGTTTCAGCCCAGCGCTAAGCCCTCAACCCTCAATCCTAAGCCCGACCTCTATCGAAATATTTGGGTGCCCGAGCGCGTACCTTTTTTACGGCTTATGCCGCGGAATTAAACCTATTCTTATCATTCTAAAACTCGTTTGCGTTGTGCATGATGGGTTTAGGGTTTAGGGTTTAGGGTTTAGGGTTTAAAGTTGTGTTTAGGGTTTAGGGTTTAGGGTTTAGGGGTTCCGCGGGGGGAGTGTTGTACAGAATTAGGGCTGTGTAAGGTATCTGCACAATCTACACACTCTGAGATGCATGATGGGTTTAGGGTTTAGGGTTTAGGGTTTAGGGTTTAGTTTTTTTTTTTTTTTTTGGGGGGGGGGGTCTGTGGTCAAGGGTGATGCTTGTCAGAGGTATCCGAAACCCTGAGCCAACTCACTCCTCACTCACTGCCCTTATAGAAACATTGGTATGGGTTGCTGAAATGTTGGCTTCTGTGGAATCACTCAATTGAAAGATGCTTGGCACAGTGTTGGGTATTTCCCCACATACTGGTACCCTTCGTAATACCCCCAAAAGAGTATAGTCCTCATTATAGGAACATCCCCAAAAAGGGCACCCCTATTTTTGGAAACCCCCAGTTCTTCATGTTGCAAATCAGGCGAACTCTGCAACTTCCTTGCAGATCATCTGGAACCGCCCTCCACCTCCCACTATGCCACGCCGAGGCTCCAAAACAAAGAGAACGGTTTTGTGTTTAGGGGCTCCTAACAGTCCTGTTGAATAGGGATTACCGTACCCCCGAATATGATTGCAATTCAGGACTGTTCTTATAAGGGGGAGCATCCTAAGCTAGATCCTGGCTCAAAAATCCCCCAGAATCCTACTCCTGCATTACCGAAAAGACGATCGGGCTTGCCAGAGTCACTTGTGGAATCTATGGCTTGTGAGAGGAATGGTTTGTCACCAACAGATGATGAGTAACTTGGCCGAGAGTGAAGCACTGCGTCTTAGCCATGCAGTCTTCTTCAGTCCAAGAGAAGATGCTGCTGGATGCTCATCGCTGCTACTACGGTCGCTGCCGCTGCCATTGCTACTGCCACTGCTGCTGCATCATCTGCTGCTACCACTGCTACTGATCTTTTGCTGCCAGAGCCATTATTAAAAGTCCCTACTTGTCGTGCTCCTGTCCTTGCTGGCGCTCTGGCCTCGTCTGCAACTCAGGTCACCGGAAGATGCGCTTTCGTAAGACCACCATGCCGGAGAAAGGAATTTGAAGCGGGCGGGTATCATCCCGTTCGTTGTTCGCGCTCCAGCTGCATCTAGCAGACAAAGAACACGTCTCATAGGCATCTTATCCTAGGTAGGATCAGGGGGGCCCTGAAAGGGGAAGCCTTCGTAACCCTCTTCTGGCTCTCTTAAACAGGGACCTTCTTCAGAGGGTCTATATCCCCAAGGGTCCCCCTAAATCCTATCCCCTATCTTACCAATATCTTACAAGATATAGATCCCAGAGTTGCACCCAAAGAGCCCTTAGTTGGGCATGCTCGGGGTTTTGGCTGGCCTCGGGTCTCAATGGACCACGTTGGATTGGATCCCATGAGCCCTCATCCTAAACCCTAAACCCTAAGCCCTAAGCCCTAAACCCTAAACCCTAAACCCTAAACCCTGAGGATTCCAGCAGCTTGCCTTCGTGCCTGGAAGACGCGTGGAGAGTTGCGGCAGTGGTCTGCCCCAGCTTTCGGTGAAGCCCTTGCCGACGGTCGGGGCATGGGTCAGACTGAAAGTGTTACGGTCCTTTTCCTTTTTTTTTAACAAGATATCAGTTTTATGAGACCATTCTGCACGGTGGCGCGCATCTTTGTTTTCAGCAGTCCATCGTTGGCATCTGCCAAGCAGAGCCAAAACGAAGTCTTCAGTCAGAAGAGCTGGCGGTTGCACAATTCGAGATCTTTATTCAGTCCCGCTCAAGGAACCCGATGACTCGTTCGTGCAAGATGTGCTTCCCAGCTAGGTTTACATGAGCAGTAACTGCGTTGCCCATGCTGGGAAGCCCATCTTTGTAGTGGACTCTGCACCATGTAGAGACAGCGTGCCTGTTTCGCCACGTGCCCAGTACATCTTCAGGAGCAGTCTTGGCAACGTCAGGCCCCATCACCCCTCAGCTTACAAAACTCACGAGAGTTTGGTTAAAATGATAATCAAAGTGGCCTTCATCTTCAATCCCGCGTCGAAGAAGCTCCTGGCTAGCGGACTACAGATGTAGTTGCACCAGGTTTTTTTTCGCGTGGCTCATCTAAGTTAACATGAGGCTTCCGATGTCGGATTCTCTGTGATTCTGTACAGCTCAGAACGGTAGGCAAAGCCTTCCAAACACAGTCTGCACGGCCCTTGCCAGTAAACAAAGAATCCTACCTCTGCCATGGTGCAATATGGCCTTGTTTTTTGGGTTGCCTTGAAGTGCTTTGTTCTTGGAGAATTAGCATAGCTACTGTCAGGGCAATGAAGAGTCACCGTAGCCACCAGTCATCCATGACGTGCATGACACACGATGGTACCTTTTTGGGGGGTTCCCATTACAGTACACACCCTTGCACACTTCCTTGAAAAAAAGGGGACCATCCATGTGCAACGGCCAGCTGCTGTCCATGTCGCCAGGTCGGCGTCGGCCCCCTCTGAGCTGGCTTCGCAGAGCAGCGCGGGTTGCTCTGTTGGACATGTCTCACTTCCGCACCTTTTCTCCCTCAGATGTCGAAAGCGCATAATTAGGCTTGAACTGTGCATGCTGGGAGCCCTCTTCTTACTGTTGGCTAGCAGGGAATGGGGGAATTTGGGCCTTATATTATATACCCTTTAAAAAGTAGGATCCCCTTTATCGTAAACCCCCTTGTCGAAATCTCACCCTTCTCAAGTAGGGAGGGGAGTTGAACATGTCTGCTGCGCAGGCCAAGCCTCTGACATGTAAGATGGAACTTTGAAGAGCTTGGGGCCACCGAGCTTGGGGCCACCGGTGGATGACCCTTTTGGAACTCCTCTTCCACACATTTCTAAATAAGATCCTCTTGAGCCCAGAAGGGGAAGCTCAAAATACCTCAAGTGCGTTTTGCGATGGTTATGGTGGATATTGCAACTGCGGTTTCGCGTGGCAGGGGTGCCGGCAGAAGCCGCTGCGGGACAATGTATGGCTTAGGGTTTAGGGTTTCGGGTTTAGGATTTAGGGTTTAGAGGTATGGCGAAGTTGGGAAATAGTCCACAAAGGGATCACTACGCTGAACATTGAGATGGAGCTGTTTGTATGTTCGCGTCTTGTCCTGCACCAGCGACCTTTGTACATGCTGCTGCTTGTCCCACATTCCGACTAGCTCGAGAGACAACAGAGCTATTGCAAAGGCTGCGCAAACAAGTTGCTTTCTGATGGATGTTGATGGGCGGACAGTGGCAGCGTCGAGATGTCAAAATGCCAAAATCTCAACTACAGAAAGCAGGATCAGACGCTGACTTTGAGCTTCTTTTTAGGGTTATGCAGACATAATATATTTAGGAAATATGTATGTATGTATATACGCGCATGTACATGCTAGAGATGAGCGCCTGCCAGAATTATGGTTCTTGAAGCCGGTACTACGGTGGACACGAGTTGTTGCGAACATCCGTAAACCATGGGAAAGCGACATGGGCCCCACCTAAAGCGATAACCTTATTTTGCACATATCAACCTGTTTTGCTTGATGGGGTCCTGCAGTCCCATAGTATGTAAAGCGATATGGGCGCCACGTAAAGCGATAATGTGGTATCCTGCGACCTCGCACCGTTGCAAGTAATTTTGTCCGTCTCTTATATTTTTTATAGTACCTATACCGATACCTATACCTAAACCTATACCTTTCCTCATACCTTTTCCTATACCTATACCTACACCTACACCCATACCATACCTATACCTATACATATACATATGCATATTCATCTACATGTACATATGCATGTGTGTGTACGCGCACACGTCTGTGTGTATATTCTGTGTACACGTATGTGTATATCAGGAAACATATATATATATATATATGTGTATATATATATGTATGTTATCCATTCGTTCAATTAGATTCATAGGTTTCGGGTTTATGTGAAGGAATGGTATTTCCTCTCTCTTAAAGTCTTAAAGGCAGCGCACGGAGGGCTTCACCTGCCAACTCTGCAGCCGACCGTCGTTGCTGAGCAGCTGAGACCCCGAGAGATCTCCTGGGCCCTTATCCCTGAGCCCTGAGCCCTAAACCCTGAGCCCTAAACCCTAAACCCCCCCGTGTGCATTCGGCTCAAGAACCTCATGTCCGCTACTGAACATTTCGTGGGAATCTGAGGGGGCCAGATGAAAGTCAACATCCCTCTAAACCCGGAACCCAACACAAACTATTCCAGCGGTGAGCCTCAGATTCCCGTGGGTCATCCTAGACTAGGTGCCGGCCTCGGTATGTCTCGCGGCGAGCGCTGAAGGCCACTGCAGCTGCTTCTTCTGCTTCTTCGCACGACTTTCCTTATGCGCGTGCCACGCGCATATGAGACGTACGTGAACATATGCATGTGCGGCATATGCCTGATCTGTGTTTACTTGAATTTTGCGATGTTTTGGATGTCTGTCTGCAATGTCGGTCTGTCTTTGTTTGTGTGTGCATGCGCCAGCGCTGGCATACCTGAATCGGAGGTGCAACTCTCTTTCTCTCCCTTCGCACACACCCTGCACTACGCACTCGCAAGTACCTGGGTATGGGAGACATCACTACCATTGGAACCGATGCCAGTTCCCTGCATCCCAAGATTCAGAGTTCTGCATGCAGTTTGTTGCTTCGCAGCTTAACGAGAAGACGTGGCAAATGGCTCGAGGAGGATTCTTGGCTGCGAGGCCTTGAGTACTTCTGGAAATTAGCCGCCAGAACTGGGGGCAATCGGACCAAGTTCCTCTGCAACATGTTTCGCTTCTTGCTGCTCTTCCAGCTCTCTGTAAGTTCCATGCTGACAAGTGTATGGCTCACCCCCTGAAGAATGTGAAGCAAGTAAATGAACCATGTCGAGGTTAGTTGCAGAATTTCACAAGCAAAGAGGCGCGTGGCCTAAGTTGTTAGTTGGTATTGTATGTACATATATATATAGGGCTTCCGGCCTGTTGGCAAAGTCTAGTTCTACTTACTGGGAGACTGTTTGCAGTCTGCTACAGGGATGTTGAAGCCCACAACCTGGTGTGACAATGTGGTGTGATGCTGTTTTGTTTTCTTGCTGTGCGTGCGTGCGTGGGTGTGTGTGTGTGTGTGCGCGGGTGTGTGTGTGTGTGTGTGCAACTCCATACATACAGCACCATTGCTGAAGCTTTGGGGCAACATGTTTGATGTCAGGATCTGCAGCGCAAAAACATCATCCATGCAGCTGGCACGGCTTGTGGCTGCAACCTGCGTGGCGGGAAGCAGCGCGCACGCTCTCCTGCCAAACAGGAGCCCGAAGAGTTGGTTCGTCATCCTTGCATTTCTCTACGGGTACTTCTCATGGTCCCTGAGTATGGCCCCTGACCTTTTTAAAGAGTTCTGAAGTATGGGCCCTTGGGTTCTACAGGGTACATACGGGGTATAAAAGGGGTCCCCATATATATATATATATATATATATATATATGGCCAAGTCACTCTCAGCCCCACGGGGCTTTCGAGAACAATGTTGCGAGTAGCAAAGAGCAAAGCTTTTCAAAGCTAGAGGTCAGTTAATTAAGTTCTTCGGTGGCGAGCCATGCATTATTTTCTGGGGGGCTTCTGAACGGAAATACGGGTTCCCACAGCGTCATGCGGGCATTGCTTCTGGCTGGTTTCGGACTACTCTCCCTTTCCCTTCTGCTTCCCCTTCCCCGTCCCCTTCCCCCTCCCCCCCTCCCTTCCATTTCCCTTTCACTTTTTCCCTCCACACCTCGCCCTCTGCCTCTGCCCCGCCCCTGCACACCCCAGGCGACAGTACATTGTTGTTTCTGCTCACCAGGAAATTTAACTCACCACTCGCTGCATGCACAACTTAACAGCACAAGGAGCCACCAGGCCAGGCCCCACCCGCCAGTGAGTCAAAGGTCGCGTGCAGAGCTATTGAGTAACTTGAGAGAGGAAGCAGAGCTTGTCCGTGTAGCGAAAAAATTGGACACTCAGGTTTTCCATCGACATCAAGGGGCCACACCTCTTCGACCACCACAGACGATTCGCCCTTGAAACGCTGTCAATTCCCCGCCCTTGCCCCTCGCTTTATATCCGATACGGCTGCCGATGACATGATGGTTTTCCCCAACACCTTCCTCCGATCATTGTGTTTGCAAATGAGGCCCCCTGCGTCGAGACTCGTTTTGTTGACACCTTCTTCCTTGTCTTGAAGCCGGCTCCTGCTGTCATTCTAATTTTGGGATGTTTATCTTATACTAACAGTCCTTAAGAGGGATTCTAATAGGGGTACTATAATCCCTATTAAGGACTTTTGGGACTGTTAGTATAAGGGGGAACATCCCAAGAATTGTGCCCAAAATTCCTGCCTGTACCTTGCTCGTCTGCTTGCATGGCTCCCTGCGCTCACACAGCTGGCTTTCGTTGCCTTGCCCCATTAATTGGTTACTTAAGTAATACAGGGGCCTGGATAATTGGAACACGGTTTTTTTTTTTTGGGGGGGGGTATTATAGTAACATTACCAAGGGACCATAAGGGAATATATCATTCGTGATTATTCCGATTCTTGTAGTAAACGAAGAGGCAGGAACATGAGAGACCCATGCGTGTGGAGCGTTGTTCTAGCAGCTAACCTCTCTCCTTGAGTTTCCATGTGCCAGGACCCTTGGTCAGGTATACCATCACCAACAGGATATCCATGAGAGCCAAGCTGACCATGAAGCAGGCCAGGCCATTTGCTTTTGCCCACCACGGTAGACAATTACGTTGATCAGCACTGAACTGCCATGCGTCAAAGAACATCCATTGTATCGTCCTAGATGGAAACCGGCAATTGCAAGTGGAACTTGGGCTTTCACAACTGACGAGTTGAGAGACCAGACCTTTGGCCTTAATGATGTGTACTTGGGGGCATAGGCGTAGACTCGGGTGGTCTTCCCAATTTCAAGCTTCAGACCTTTGACTGTTCTGGACTCAACCGCCGCCCACCATTCTAAATCGTAAAACATTCACGGCTTGGCAGCGAACTCTATGTAGACTAGCCCAGTCCGCAAGTGGTAACAACTTGCGGACTCAATCCCAAATTCACTCCCTCTTCACAGAGACTGCGACAGGAAGAGAGAGGAAGAGAGAGAGAGAGAGATATACTGGGCACGGGCATGCACCGCGCACGCGTGGGGGATCTTTAAAGCCCTCCCTCAAGAAGATGATGCGAGAGATAGAGAGAAACTCTTGTGGATACCATTTACAGGGGGACTTAGAGCGTGACCCATACCTTCACCTAGACTGCAGTATTTAGGCAGGGCCCTGAACCCTAAACCCTAAACCCTAAACCCTAAACCCTAAACCCTAAACCCCCTTCGAGCCGCAGGACCTCCGCGAGCTGGCGCCAGGCTGTCGGATTGCGGTTTGGTAAAATGGTCTTGGAGGTGGAAAGCTACAGAAGGAGTGCCCCTGTTTTGGGAAGTAGCCAAATGTTTGCAGTTTACAATAGCCCCAGAGTGAGTGAGGGACCCTGAGTATTGCGTGGGTCGGGGTTGGGGAGGGGGGATTACCATGAATGGAAGGGGAGAACCCCGAAACCCTATAACCTTAAAACCCTAAACCCTAAACCTTAAGCCTTCCGATCCTGAAGTATAGCATCATACCACCAGCATGAGCTGGGAGGTCTCCAAAGGATTATCGGGTTCTTCTTATTGTTGCAATATTGTTGCATTCATAGGGAATGAAGGGCATGGGGTAATCATACGAGTGCTATTGAATTGCTACCATTCCTACATGTCCTGCTGACCAGATGTAAGTTAAGTGGTCTCCACATCATCTTCGTTTCTCTTACCACCGGCAGGTCTGGCATACTTCAGCCGGGCATCTCACTGAGGTACGGTTTCATCCAAGTTTAGGGTCTCCCTCCCACCCTCACCAAACTGTCTGAGAGACTTTGAGCCCTGATGTCAGCAGGCAAGGGTATACTGACTAGGGCTTCAGAGGAATGGCATTGGCTGTAGGGAGTGACTTGTGGGTCTGTCGGAGTCTCTGCTTCTGTACTTGCTTGAAAATGAAGAAAGCTTGTTCGTGCATGTGTCGAGCGGAACGGCAATGCAACGTCAAGTACTTTTGAAGCGCATGCATAGTATGGCATATTTATATGCGTGCGCTGTCTCGTGAGAGCTGATACTACCGGTGCCTATCTGCCAATGTTCATGCACGCATGCGCGTATGTTTGTGTGTAGAGTTATATAAGTATGCAGTTGTACATTTCTGCAGTTATTGTTCATACAGAAGAGGAGGGGCCTGTGCTTTTTGGCATAGCACACTTGCTAGACTTAGACTTATCTGCTTGCTACAATCTCAATATGTTCACAGGCAACACAGGAGATTTCTGGATCTTCTCGACACTTTTTCTGATCACAGAATTAGCCAAAAAGCTCCACCTCATTCCAGTCCCCTATCTAGACTTATCCCAACTCGTGTAAAAGTAGGTTTACAAAAGCCTAGGCCCCACAGGAACTGCTCCGCAATTATATTTGAGAGCTCGCGATCGCACATGCGTTCAGGGGCCTGTAATCAGAAGTTCGGACTAGTCTGTATGTACACATGTTAACAGATCTCTGTGTGTGAGGCATGCTGAGTTTTCGGTGTGCGATGCTCAATCCCTAACCCCTAACCCCTAACCCCTAACCCCTAACCCCTAAACCCAAAACCCTAAACCCTAAACCCTAAACCCTAAACCCGGTGGCGCTGTTGCCTGTGGCGAGGCATGTTGGAGCCCGCGAAGCGCCTGACGACGCGGAGGCGCGTAGGATGCTTAGGGGGCGTTTTGTTGGCGGGGATTCAGGGCTTAGGGCTTAGGGCTTAGGGTTTAGTAATTATAGGGTTTAGGGTTTAGGGTTGGCCCATCAACATTTCCTTCAATTGGGCTAGCCCTGTTAGGGGGGTTCCTACCCCTATTGTGGGAAATACCCAGTTGGATTGTTGTGCCACATCAGCTCGAACAAAGCTTCAACTCTAGCATGGTTCGGGTGTCAGTGGAATGCACCGGAGGGCCACCGCTGCACCAATCCCAAAACACTCTCTGCAGGAAGGCGTCCGCTTCAAGGACCGGACTGGCTGAAGGGCAAGTTAGTGCCGTGCACTCCAATTTGTGTGTGTGTGTGTGTAAGATCATGTAGTTCGCTAGTAATGCAGTGAGAGATAGGAAAATACTTGGATTTTTGCAATGGCCAACAGGCAAGTAAAGGTCCATGTGAGCAGGCTGGGGTAGACTTCCCATGGCTTCCCTGAGCCGACCAAGAGGATTGCGATAAACAGAAGAAACCCACGAATACGAAAAGTAACAATAACTAGGACCCGGAGAAGGCCTTTTTTTTCCTTTTTTTTGGGGTTGGGGGTTCCCTTATAATCCCCTGAAAACCAAAAAGGTTGCCCTTTTTATTCCTAGGTTACTCCCGGGTCTAGAATAAGAAGAAGCCACGTGAGCAAGACCAGGAGGTCCAGGGTCTTGGACGTATGCGAACCTTGGCAACCCCAAGCCCGAAATCCGAGGCATCGACGTAGACGCAAACTTTTACTTCCCCTGAGGTGAAGCAGCAAGTTGGTGAAGGCTAAATGGGTGGATCCGAAAATGGGGGTACCTTCTTGGGGTCCTTATAAGGGAATCCTACTATTTGGAGGTCTATATTGAGGGGTCACTTATTTTCCCACATGAAGCCGGCGCAAGTCACTCTCCAGCAGCGTCGTCTCGCAGGGCCGAGAACTCGGCTTGCCGATGAAGGCTGTGCCGTTCAACAGTTCAACTGGCCATGCTTCGGGAGACCTCGCATCAAAATGAAGCAATCAGGGTGGGGGAAAAGCGAGGCAGCGGGGCCAAAAGGGCCCAGGTCTTGCAGGTAAGGTTCCACATGGCCCAGTTGGCCGAAGCGTTTCCGGCCCGCGAAATGACGAGGCAGAAGTGCGCTTAAATCCCAACAAGTCCTACTAATAGGGTTTAGGGTTAGGGCAAGAGCATGCCCTGTGAAACCGATGTTGCGCTACTCGCGGCAGGAGCATACGCTGAATTACGTCCCTGCAGCCCAAGCGCACAAGGTTTTTGGCCCGACGTCACATTTGCAAGAGTTTTTGCGAATAACCTAGACTGCTCGTGGACATATATGTTTACTTGGTTCCAAGAAAAAGCGGCGATGTGTGTGATGCAACGTCTTGTGAGCGCAGGAAGCAATCTTGAACTCCGTTGCTGGCTCGATCTTCCTCTTCCTGGCCTTGTCTGTCCAGTGGTTCAACGAGGCCATCTTGCTTGATGGCAGGCTTCTGTTATGCTGGCTGCTAGATGGGGGTTTACGAAAACAGGGGATCGTAGAATAGTCCCCTAAATAGGAGGATTCCCTTATAGTGAGGACCCCAGTAAGGTACCCCTAATTTCGAAAACCACCAGATAGTCTTGCGGTTTTGTCGCCTGGCGAAAATCTCCCTCATGCTGACCTGAGCTTGCGCAGGAGCGAAGTGCCAAGATCGAGGCGCCAGTGCCCGCTGCATGGTTTAGGGTTTAGGGTTTAGGGTTCAGGGTTCAGGGTTTAGGGTTTAGGGTTTAGGGTTTAGGGTATCTCAGTGTGTCTGTCCCTCCCACCCCAAGACACACTTGTCAGTTATCTAGATTGTGGGCACCTTGTTTGGACCGTGGTGTCACAAAGAGAAACCCACACCGCTGCTTCGGTCGAAGGTCCTGCTGACGCGAGGGCTCGAGGACTGCAAGAGGTCGCCGAGCTAAGCAGACCTTAAACCACTGATGTGTTGCTGGAAGGGTCTGAGGAGCTGCATGAGCTGACTTTGCAACCATGCACCTGACACGCATGCTGACGGGAAAGATTTTTTCGGGGTAGTGGCCCTTAGCAAACAAGGCTTCGTTTTACGGTAGTGGGGTCTCGGTTTCGTAGAGGTGCAGCGTTTGACTCTGTCAACCAAGCTTGGGCTCACAAATTCAGCCAGGAGGAATCAACAAAGTATAAATATGCTGGTGGCAAGGGCACCAATTACAAGAAACCGCACACATCTACAGGAAGAGGAGAAGGCACACTCGCCAAAACGTCTGATAGCTGTGCTATGGCTTCCGACAGCGTGGAAGAGACTGCCAAGGGAACGCCCGGCGCTTTGGCAAATTCTGGGTTACGAAATATCAACTCTCGCACTAGTTCTTCGTAGGGGATCAGGGAAATTTGGTCCCCTACATTTCTCTTGAACGGAACTATAGGGGGATTTACGAAAATAGGGGACCCCCAGTATAGACCCCCGAATAGTAGGATTCGCCTACATAAAGGACCCCCAAAAAGGTACCCTAATTTCGGAAATCTCCAAAACCCTAAACCCTACACCCTCAACCCTAAACCCTAAACCCTAGACCTTCCTAAACCCTCCTAAACCCTCCTAAACCCTCATAAACCCTCAACCCTCAACCCTCAACCCTCAACCCTCAACCCTCAACCCTCAACCCTCAACCCCATCCTAGTGGGACAGAAATTTGTGAGGTGTCTAATTTTTAAGTGTTGTTGCGAGCCAGTACAGCAAGCCCTCGCAGAATCCTGGCACCCCAAGTTCTCTCGCAGGCAGCTTAGGGAGCATAGGATCCTTACATTTCAGGGTTTAGGGTTTAGGGTTTAGGGTTTAGGGTTTAGGGTTTAGGGTTTAGGGTTTAGGGTTTAGGGTTTAGGGTTTAGGGTTTAGGGTTTAGGGTTTAGGGTTTAGGGTTTAGGAGCATTCAGGTCACAGCGCTGAGGAGCCATCATCGCAGACGCCTGCGAAGGTGGCAGCCCATCTTTGCGCCATGCAGCACACGTCACCTTGTGATTTTCCTAATACATATATATATGTATGTATGTATGTATGTATATAGTATAGTAATAGTAATAGTAATAAAATAATCATAATCATAACAGTCATAATAACTAGATTTAGAATAATAATTATTATTATAATTAGTATTAGTATTATTATTACTATTTCAATAAATACAGCTAATAAGAATAATTAATAATAATTTCTTCGATATATAATACAGAATAGTACATATATATATATATATATAAGCTGCCACCGCTGTCGCCTTGTACACAAGGCCATTGTAGACCCCAAACCGTGAGAGAGCCATGGAACACGAAGGAGCACGACAAGGGGGCAAGAGCACGCGCAAAAGACGCCAAAAGCCCAGAAGTCTAGAAGCGACCACAGTTTCGAATTTGGCGAACACGGACGCTCAAAAGCAACGACAGTTCAGCATTTGGCGAAGCCAGACGTCCAGTCTCACTTGGCGAACCCTGACGTCAGAAGCGCCGACCACAGACGTCCAAAGGCGCTGCCGGTTTGAGACAACTACCTGCCCCCGCTTGTTCTGCACGTTGGAGCCCATTAGTGTTCACACACTGTTTGAGGGGGGAGGGGGGGTACTATATAATGTTGTATACTGCATATTACATATCACGGTTTGCATATATCATGCGGTTTACTATATATATATACATATATGCATGTATTTATATTTATTGAATACATTGCGATTTACAGGTCATACACATCAGTTCATGATACACTACTGAATTTAGATTATGTTGTGTATAGTATAGACTGTACAACATAAACTGTATGTATGTGTGTACATATATATATATATATGTATATATGACAATGTCCTCATATATTTCAGGTTCTATCATAATGCAGTTTTGTTGTATTCTGATTTTTTATACCATCATACTCGGATTTTCGTTTTTATATGTGATATCATGCCATAATTCATACTTTACATATCTTTGTGCATGCATTTTTAGTACGTCATATAGATAATTAAATACGGTTATAGATGCATGTATATATGAATATTGTGCACAGTATGTAGCATCTGCAGTGTATGCATAGTATCATATAAAAGTACAATGCCGCATGTTACATAATGCGTAGCTTTGTACTAGATATTACATACTACATATTCATACCGCATACTTTAATAACATACTACTTTTCTCATTCATGATCTACTGTATATAGTATTTCATTTGCAGCTCAAGTACACCTTCCCCCTACATATTGTGATTCGATACATTCTACATCTGGGATGCATATTATAATTCTCTACTTGGTTAGATGCTGTAGAATGCGTAGTAATATGTACATATAGATAGACCAGTCAGATAGATGCGGTTCAGTACATGTTCTCAATCCGGCATCTGTTCAGGATGTCTCCGATGACCACGCGCGACAGACACAGACTCTTGGTGAGGAGCTGGCAGCGGCAACCCGCCTGAAACAGTGGGTAACATTTTGCATCTTTGGGGTGCTTACACTAAATCGGGAAGGGAAATTTAGACTCTTAATGCTATCCCAACCATGAACTAGTATAATCCTTAAGTTCTGAAGGTTTAGGGTGTAGGGCTTCGGGTTTGAGTTAAACGGAAGAAAGCATACCACCGGGCATCCCAAACCCTAAAGCCTCATAGAGCCCTGAAAAAGGCCGTAAGGGTACTACTACCTTACATCCTGATTCATAAGCCCTGAAGGGGCGTTTGAAGGAGCCCTGCAAGCCACGTGCGGATCACTCCCATCTGGGAGATCCAGAGGAATCATATCTTGCAGTAGACTTCAAAAGGCAAAGGTAGACATGGCATGGGTTGAGGGCTTGGGGTTTTGATTTAGGGTTTAGTTGCGTGCACACCACGACGTCCGAATTCCTGCCAGGCATGGGGGGATTTGTTTGTTTCGAGAAGCTTAGAGGTTGAGGAAGTGCAGCCCCTAAAACCTAAGCCCTAAACCCTGAACCCTAAACCCTAAACCCTAAGCCCACAGCCTGCAAGGCACTGCGGCTCAGCCAAGATGTGGTCCCTGAGCATAGCAGCTGGGCCAGCCCGCTTCCCAAACTTCTGGAGGATGTTGCAAGCCATTGCCCTAAACCCTAAACCCCAGTGAAGGGAACGGGTTCTTACAAAGCATAAGCTCCCGAGCTTGATTACGCACGTAGCAGTTGACACGCGCAAGCTCAGACAAGGCGTGCCGGCTACGGCTTTGCCTGTGGTCGCTGCGCCTCCGCCAGCCAGGCATGGCAGTTTGCTCAGCGCATCATGTGTCATGACTGCTGGCGGCTATGAGGCCTTATAATCCCCATAGTCAACCCTATAAAGAGCCTTTTTAAGGGGTTTTCGGGTGTAATAGCCCGTCCTGGTAGGGGCTCTAGCTTGGATCGTTTTTACGTCGTGCTGCACTCGTTGCGCAGGGATGGGGAAAACGACAAGGACCAGGAGCTGTGCCTGAGCCAACAAATAGTTGGGGATGGGCCTCCTCGCACATGGCGTCTCCCACATCTGGCCGATCCTCAACCCAAATGCCACCCAAACCCAAAGCAACGGCCGCAAGACATGCTCTAAAAGGAACTGGCCTTCAGAAAAGTGTGTTGGACCTGCTCCTCTCCCACCCCCTTCAGTACACGTCCAACGTTCCCCCATAGTTTAGGCTAAGTAGTAACACGCCAATGAACGGCAATTAAAGCTTCATGAAAGGGGAACCTGCGGGGGGTTGGGGGCTGCTGGGTTTAGGGTTTATTTAGATTTATACTGGTATGGGACGAACAAGCTTAGTAAGAAGCCACGCAACCTCACAGGATTACACACAAAGCGAGGTTAGCATTCTCACAAACCCAAAGTTTCAGCCCTAAACCGTGCAAGCGAACTCTTGACCCTGGCAACCCTGCCCTCCTCGCCAACCCCACGTAACTGAGCCCTGCGTCCTGGTATCCTGTGTCCCTATATCCCTGTACGGGGGGTGGGGGGGGGGGGGGGGGGGGGGCAGGTTTTTTCATGAGGTGCTCCTATTTAGGGGACCTTCTCATATTTTTACCCTTACCAAGGCACCCCGAAAACAGACCTTAACATAGAACAAGACCCCAAAAAGCCCCACCATTTGCAATGCAAGGTTGCAAGGATTGCTTTCCTTGCGTGCAGCCATTGTGGCCCAGCACGGGGAGCTCCTGCCCCCTGACAACTTTCGGAAATTTCGGAAATTTGGGGTTTAGGGTTTAGGGTTTTAGGGTTTTAGGGTTTTAGGGTTTTAGGGTTTAGGGTTTAGGGTTTTTGGGTTTTTGGGGCTTTAGGAGAAACCACCACCGACGCTAAGTGGCTCTAGGACGGTGATTTTAAAGGTAGTTGGGGGGTGTTGCTGAGGATTTAAGGTTTTTGGGTCGCAAGCCTGGGTTGCAAGCCTGTGGTGTTTTCATAGCGCTTTGGGTTCTTGCCAGGAGAGGAGAGTAACAGTATGTCTGCGGCAACGCCCTAGACTCACCTCCCCTCACCTCCCCAATGCCCTTTAATATCGAGCATGCACTGCTGCGAAACCCTCAACCCTAAACCCGGGCCCTTTGCAAGCCTCGAAAATCCATCAGGTGCTCCTTGGACCTTCATCTGCAGAAGCTGAAGGACACCCTGGGCTAAGGGGGTTAATCTTTGAGGTTGCGTCGGGCAGTGGAGCTGAGGCCCTCCTATTTGGGGTTTTATGGGTTTGGTTCGTGGGCCCGTTTAGGGTTCAGGGGCCACAGGTTGACATCGGGGCTCAAGCCTTCCACAGAGCCTTGCCCCCCTGAACCTGAGCCGGACAAAACCTTTCTGAAGGGCAATGCCAAACTACTTCCCGCTTTGAGAATCCCAAGTCGGCCACCTACGGAGTAACCCTAAACCCTAAACCCTAAACCCTAAACCCCAAACCCCAAACCCCAAACCCTAAACCCTAAACCCTAAACCCTAAGCCCTAAACCCTAAACCCTAAACCCAGTTTGTTTCTCGGTCTGCCTGGAAGGCAGGATCCAATGCCACGATCGAGTCGCCGGCGTTCCATGGCCAGAAAGCTCCCCCCAAGCCCTAACCCCAAACTTTCCGAAGGTTTCCTGATGAAGGTTTCTACCATTTGCTTAAGAACCCCCCCTAGAAAAATAATAGATAAATATTCCTTATCAGGGCAATCTAGGGATTATGTTTTTGTGTTTTTTGGAGGGGTGCTTAAGCAAAGAGTAGGTTTGGCTGCTCCACAAGGTAGGGGCGATCAGAAGGCCGCAGCAGCGCATCGTGTCTCTCTTGCCACCAAGGGGCCCCCCCTGAAGTCCTTCCGAGTCATCGCCAGAAAGGTACTTGGAGGTCTAGGGTTTAGGGTTTTAGGGTTTCGGGTTTAGGGTGTAGGGCCCAATTAGAACTGTACTTCTAACCCAATTATAACCAAATTGGGGCCTAAGGGTGGAAAAAAAAAAACCGAGTCGCAATAGCAAAACCATCCTGACCATCACCGCCCAAGTAGTTTGGGAAGTTGCTTCACCAGCATCTGCGACGCGCGCCCCTAAACCCGAAACCCGAAACCCTAAACCCTAAACCCTAAACCCTGAGGCCGTTCAGAAGTGACAGCGGTGCCAAGGTGGTAGCCTCGTGGGCAGCAAGTTTGTATACAGCGTGCGTAGGACCCATTGCTCAGCCCCATCTTGCAGTCGGGGATCCCAAAGAAAGCCGGAAGAGGGTTTAGGGTTTAGGGTTTAGGGTTTAGGGTTTAGGGTTTAGGGTTTAGGGTTTAGGGTTTAGGGTTTAGGGTTTAGGGTTTAGTACCATAATCATATAGTCAATCTAGTAGCATAATCATATAGGAACAATATAGTAACAGAATCCTATAACAATATCGTAAGCTAGTACTATGAAATTCGAAGGAAACAGCATCCAGGCACGGGTGGAGACATCATCGCGTTTGCGGCGGAAGGCTTGGTGCTAGGGCTCAGCATCTTTGAGGACACTTCCCTGAAAGTTTTTGAATCCCCCTATAAGCCCTAAAACTTCTCAAAGCCCGAAGCACAGGAGTCGGCTTGGTCTAGTAGTGACCGAAATTCTATGTGAGCACGCCCGCGTGCGCGGACCAAAATTTACATGAATTCCGAAACAGCGAAATCCAGCCGGCACGGAAATATCGAGTGGGGTACTAAACTTGTACTACAAAACATGAAAAGCCAGCCGGCTTGCGGAAATATCGTTGGCAGTACTAAGCTTGTACTACACAACCTTGGCACAGAAGCGGCTGCGAAGTCGCGCGATGGCCAAGCAGAAGTCAGGGCGCCACCAAAACTCGCAAAAGGAAACGTTCTAAACAACAATACGTTAGGTTGTAAACAGACGGGATTAACATGAATGCCAGGACGGATGAAGACGTGCACGGGTAAAAAACGCAACAGTTTCGGGTCAGGGTGGCGTCCCACTTTTTCTTAAACCCTAAACCCTAAACCGCTTCACCTTAAAGCCTTAGAGAACCCTTTGTGAGCGGCCCACTCCTGCACGACTGGTAAAGCCTACTGGGTCAGTCCCTCTCGTGCCCCGAAATCCCAAGCCCGTAAGTTGTAATCTTGTTGTTGGCTCATGGTGTTTAAGGTTTTGGGGTTGAGGGTTCATTCTGCGAATATGTAGAAGTAGCTTGTAGGGGCTTATCGTGTGTATGGGGTTAGCGAAAGAACCTTCAAAGAGACAACGCGCAGTCAGCTTGAAACTCCCAGGTGAAAGCCTGAGGTCTAGGGTTCAGGGTTTAGGGCTTAAGGTTTAGGGTTTAGGGTATTAGGGTTTAGGGTTTAGGGTTTAGGGCGTGAACCCGAAACCCTCCACTCTCATCCCCAGTGCAGGCGCCACATGCGGCTCCGGCTCGCAAGTCCTTCACTGCGGGAGGCATCACCATGCCTGAGGCCGGATGGCGGTTTAGGGCTTAGGGTTTAATTGGGGTTTAGGGTTTAGGGTTTAGGGTTTAGGGTTTAGGGTTTAGGGTTTAGGGTTTAGGGTGGTCAACATGTTTTGATGAGAGTTCGTGGAGCACCGTGCAGTTTTACACTCCGAACCCCAACATGAAAACGGCGGCCACTTTTTTCGAGTTCCTAGCTCAGGCAGTGTGCGTTTCTAAGCTTAGACGTTGGGTAGATTGAAGCCGGGTGGACAGATTTAGACTTTCTTGTGTTGGCTAGGAGGCCTTTTCCCAACAGCTGTAGCTCACCAGCTGATCGAGGATGAAACACCGAGCCGTCCCTCCTCCATGAAAAGCGACGAGGACGCCGTTTGACGCCTTGGTCTCCCCTGTCTATAGTAGGGAATGGGGAATGAGGTACCGTACATAATCGCTTAGACATTATATATATATACATATATACATATATATATATATATATATATACATATATACATATTATATATATACATATATACATATATATATATATATACATATATACACACATGTGTATACTATATAATATTATATATATATATACTATATACATATGTATATATATATATATAGATTTATTTATATGTATGTATGTATATATATATATATATGCAGGGGATATAGGGTACCTCATTCCCTGATTCCCTACTAAGAACCAGCAAGTGGTGCTGGCGAAGCTGATGAAATTCAGTACAAACGTGCTGAGTGGCGAGCGGGCCTTTAGGGTTTAGGGTTTAGGTTTAGGGTTTAGGGCTTAGGGCTTAGGGCTTAGGGCTTAGGGCTTAGGGTTTAGGGTTTAGGGTTTAGGGTTGCTTGAGTACATTTCACAAGCTGATGCGGGGAGCTAGGCGAAGGAACTTGTAGAAGCACGAGGGATAAGCACCCCCAGACAAACTCGAAAGTGCGTTCAACGAGCAGGAGCTGGTGACAGTCAAGATTTCCGCTCCGACTGGAGTCCGAAACCAGGCCCATGACGATAAACAAGTTTAGGGTTTAGGGTTTGAACATTTTCTGGATCAGACCAGAGCGGCTTCGAGAGTATAAACGCGCCTAGAGGTTTGGAGTGTATTGCGAGCAATTACAAAGATGCACTTCAGGGCTTAGAGGTTTGCAGGGTCTATAGAGGAGGTTCCCTAAATTATTGGGAGGGGGTCCGTTCTTATAAGGGTGCCGAGGTCTAGAGGGACCCCAAAAAGGGAGCCTCTAGGACTGTGGGGTTGCCCCGAAGGTCTTCGCGGCCGAAGCCCCACTTCCTGGTCAGCTGGCAGAGCTTGCGGATGTCAAGAGCGATGAGGTCTGGACGAGTCTGTGTGTTCTCTGTTCGGTGGTTTTTCCAAACCCTGAGCCCTTAACCCTAATTCAACTCTAAACCCTAAAACCTAGAACACTAAACCCTAAGACCCTAAATCCTAAACCCTAAGCCCTAAACCCTAAACCCTAAACCCTAAGGATCCTGTGCTCGATGCGTGCTCGGTGATTGCAGAATATATCCCGCCAGGAAGATCGGAGCAACTTTGTGGCTGTTGCCGCTTGCTTTGATTGGCTGGTTCTGAGTAGAGGGTTTAGGGTTTATGGTTTAGGGTTTAGGGTTTAGGGTTTATAGGGTTTAGGGTTTAGGGTTGAGGTACTCCAAACCCTGAAGCCTAAGCCCTAAACCTAAACCCACCAATGAACCACAGGGGGGAGAAAGGTAAGCCCGACACCTTAACCGCTTTAACCCTGAAACGTAAACCCAGCACGAACCAGGAGAGGGGAAACCGTAAACCTACCATTACCCCAGACCTTGAATCCTCAACTCTAAACCCACCGTGAACCAATGGACCAAGGGGGTCAGAGTGAAAATCCTGAACTCTACTGGCTACAGCAATTTGTGCATCAACCCAGAACCATGAGGATCCAGGGGTGCAAGGGCCTGTGTGCAGGTTTTGAGGCCTTACTTTGGGAAAGATACCCCTCCCGACTCCCCCCCCCCCCCACCTCGGACTCTTGCATGACTTGCTTGCACTGCGCAAGCCAAGCCGGACCTTGCCTGCCAAAAGGTACCGCAACGTGCTGAACGGCGAGCCCGCAGAGCGCAAACTGCAAAGCAGCATCTACCCACACTCTCCGCCAAACGCAGGACCAGCTCGTTCCTCTTGGCATACGCCCGGCTTGATTTCTATGTGAAGCACCGGGCTGCCCGATACGAATTCAGAATGAGGGCCTCCTACAGAAGAATTGCATCGCTGGCCGCGGGACACTTTGTAGGGGATGGGTGTTGTGGAGCCACCTGTGCAGCCTTCATGTCAATTCTGCTGTGGCATGCGGGAGGACATCTTGGTTGACCCGGTCCCAGAAGGTCACATCTGAGTTGCACAAGGCCAAAAACGTACGTACATGTGTTGTCAGTGATGTCAATGATGAGTGCTTGGTTCTTGCTGTCCAGGGCATTTGGATGTGAGCACGTTGGTAGGCAAGTTGGCATCTGACCTGTTTCTGTGTGTGAGATCGCTCTGATAGCAAAGAGCTTCTGCGGCCTGCAAGGTGGGTTGCGCTTGTGGGGTTGGGTCGGTGCGGGTTGTGGAGTTGGCAGGTGGGGTGACCAATGCGTTGCGGCGTTGCTGTTGCTGCATTGTCTTTGCGTTGACAAGTGGGGGTTTACGAAAATAGGGGACCGCCGATATAGATCCTAAAGAGTAGGATCCCCTTAAAATAATGTAGCCCCAATAAGGTACCCCTATTTTCGGAAACCACTAACCCTAAACCCTAAACCCTAACTCCCTTAGACTAATAAGGTACCCTATTTTCGGAAACCCCAAGTCGCCCAAGTCATTTGCGCCATGCTGCTGCACAGGACCAGGATGGGCAAAAGCCAGTCAAGCTGTCGCGCAATGAGAAGGCCACCCTTTGTCTCGACGGCATCTAGACAACGTGGTGGAATCCTAAACCCTAAACCCTAAGCCCCATGAACTCTTGAACCCTGTGACCACGCAGCCCACTTGCCAGGCGGAGGCACGCAAAGCAGGGGAGCTTGCACATGGCGCGGGCGGGTTGCTGTCCAGCTTCCACGCCGAGCTATTTGACTGACAGGGGACTTCGGATCTTGGGAGTTCGGGGCTGATAGCTGCTACCCTAAAGGGTCCATGTACCTAAATTTTAAACAGGGAGTACCTGGGGGCCTTAAAGTACCTCCTATGTAGGGACTTTGGGGCCCAAATATTCCCTATTGAGGTACATGGACCCCTAGGCCTCTGGGGCCTTAGTGCCCTGAGTTGTGGATCTTAAGGTCTTCTGACCGGGACTCTCAGCATGCGTTGAAGGGCCAGGTCCACGTGGTAACATTCCCCCTTCAGCCTTGGAACCTTCCCCTAAACCTTAAGCCCTAAACCCTAAACCCTAAACCCTAAACCCTAAACCCTGAAGCTGCAACCCTGATTTTGGCCCTGGCGCTCCCCACCACGTCCTGCTGACTGTTTCTGGGTATAGGGTTCTAGGGTTTGGGTTTAGGGCTTAGGGTTCTAGAGGGCTTGGAAGGATTTAGGAATGTGGAAGGGTTTGGGCTTGGCCATTTTGGGCACAAAGCAATAAACTGTGTCGGTTGTGATGGGTCAGGTCTGCGTCACCAAAGGCGAATTCGAGCAAACGTCCCAGACCAAAGGGAGAATGAGCACAACAGCTCTAGGACATAGCCTCCCTTGCTACAAGATTGTGTGTGTGTGTGCGTGTCTTAATGTAGTGGGTTATAAACCCTCAACCCTAAACCCTCTCGAAAGTGTGCTTCACTCTGGCGTTGCTGGCGTGTTTCTGCGGTGGGCGACGTCGAGACAGGTACTCAACGACGGCGGTGATGCAGAGCGCCGTGAATGGGTTGGCGCTCCCCGGCTGTCTGTAGTTTGTATTAGAATCCTTGGAGCCCAGGCCCCCGAAACCCCTTTTGGGGGGTTTAGGGTTTAGGGGTTAGGCTTTAGGGTTTAGTTTAGGGTACCCGAGGCCCCCGGAACCCCCCAAAAGGAGGGGGTCAAGCCCGAGACTTTAGCCGGAATGGTCTTAAACCCTAAACCCCTAAACCCTAAACCCTAAGCCCTAAACCCTAAGTAGTGCGGAGATGCAGTGAGGGCAACCTCCGTCAAGGTGACCAGCACAAGTGTGGCGTAAAGCTGGAGCTAGCTCTTGATTAGTTTCATGACGAGTGAGAGGTCTAACAGGACCAGTCCTTGGTAGAATCCTTTGGCTTCTTGCATGGGGCCTCCCTCGACTTCCTCAACTTGGGAGCTTTAGTCTTCGTGGAGGCCTCGTAGGTAGGCGCACGTGCGACATCAAATTAAAGCCGTCTTCCTCCGGAGCTTCTGCAATGCATCCAAAGCCGCTTCTACCCCTAGTTCTTAGTGGGGAATGAGGGAATTAGGTACCCTACAGAAGCCTTAGAGGGAATATCTACTACGGGGATATAGCTATAGGGTACCTCATTCCCTGAATTCCCTACAAAGAACCAGCAAGGTTCTTGGGGTCAAAGCTTGCGCGTGAGGTCCGAACAGCAGAGGCGTCGGGCAAACAACCGCTGCACTGCCATCGTGCGAAACCCGTGGTTCGAGCGGATCACGCTGGCCATGGTGATTCTGAATGCTGCCCCGCGCTCAGATCGGGTGCTGGGACCCGTCTGGCTTTAGACAGTCCTAAACCCTAAACCCTAAGCCCTAAACCCTAACCCTAAGCCCTAAACCCTGAACTCCTCCCCAGCCCCCCAAAGCCTAAGCGATTTTCGAGGTTGAGATGGCGCTGGATGTCGAGCTGAACCCAAACTCGATTGTTTTTGACTCTGACTCATCTCCGCTCTTCGTCGTCTCGCACAACTTGTTTTGCAGCTTCTTCTTGTTCGAGTTGGTCATTCGAAGCTTGGCTCCTGCCACGAAGCGCTGGTGTTACTTAGCTATGAGTATATCATGAAAAACATGTCGTTTAGCTTAATTTATTATGATATTAGACTTTTTGATAGCTGCGAATCAAATGGCAACAGCCCTATTGAAGCTGGTGTGCGTCTGCAAGCCTACATCCACTTGTCCGCTGGGCAAGTACATGGTCAGTTCCCCAATAGATGCTCCCTCTCTTGGGACGCAGTTTACAGTATAGTGTACATGTAGGGTTGAGGGTTTAGGGTCTAGGGTTTGTACAGGAGCTCATATTCTTGCTAGGGCCCCCAAGAAGGGCAAAATAATGCAAAGTGCTTCGAGTTTGGAATGAGGGAAGGAGGTACCCTAAAGAATACTTTAAAGGGCACATACGTAGGGGGGATACACCGTACCTCATTCCCAAGTGCCCTACTAAGAGCCCGGAAGTTAAGCCCCGACTGTGTGAACCCTAAGCGGCCTCAAGACGCCAGGATGTTTTGCACATGGTGGTCTGCAATACGCCTGCCGCGACGTGTGGTTCAGCTTCGAGAGCTTGCTGGGCATACTGATGATCCTGGAGACCTGGGCCGCGTGATGCAGATCCAAGTTGAGGGCTTAGGGTTTAGGGTAGGATTTATCTTTGGGGGCTCATAAGCCTTAAGTTTCGGGGTTCCGGCTTACACCGCTGAGATTCTGTGGTTAGTGTGCGAGCACCAGCTCCTTTATAAAAGAGTTTGCGGCTGTCATGCCAGCTTCTGGTGCCGTTAAGCACTCGTGGCCATGTTCTCCCGCATCAACAGCTGGAGCCTTTTCCCTGTGCACGGGCTGGGATTGTCTCGTGGTAGGTAGCGCCTATACAATAAACACCATGCTCGTGAAGCTTTCGTGGTGCCAGCTCGGTGCAGGATTTCTTCGCTGTGCTGTCGAGGTAATGCCAGCTCTGCACGCATTGCGGCTGATCACAAGTCCTACTGCTGCCAACACTGCGAACTCGCTTCGAGTTGCGCGTGTGCTACGCGTACTGCGAACAGCTGCTGAGCGGCAGTTGCATACAGAAGTGATAGAATTCGTCGTAGTCGCAGCACTGGCAAAGTCTCCTTAAGTTGTGTGGACGTATCAATCAGGGTGTTGAACTGAACAACGAACAATCCGAAGCGCACGGCCGCTGACGCTCTGCGCCAAGGCCCGCCTGGCAACATTGCTGCAGTTGGGCAGGATGCACGATATGAGTTGTTTCAATGCCTTAAATGAGATACATATACACATATACATATGCTATAAAGCTTGTATATGAAATCTATGTGCATGCGCTATATACGACATGTATACATCTTATGTGTATGTGTATATATATATATACATAAATGTTTTCCCTGCTTCCCCCAGAAGATTTACCCTGTTTACATACTTTTACTATCCAGAATCCCTTCCGATCTAGTCCCTCGAAGCAAAAACCGATCCTGAATCAACCCTAAACACCGAACCGGCAATTAAGCCGGAAATAGTGAAAACATATTTGCTCACAGTATTCTCGCGTCCCCGGGGCTTACAGTACATGATTTTTCCACATCAGCTCCGAACATATGTTCATCATGTATACTATAAAAAAAACACAACACCCGTTTCTAAACACCGACCCTGTTCATAAACACTGCTGGTGTTCTAGTATTTCTACCGTACCCAGTTAAAAAACAGCCAAGGTAGTGAGGGCTTCGGACTTAGGCTGCAAGGGTTTCGGGTTTACTACCGGTGCCAACGGAGCAATGGACCAATGAAACCAATGTACCAATGAGCCAATGGACCAATGAACCAATGTACCGATGTACCAACGTACCAATAATTTGTGCCCACGATTGGTACATAGGGTTTACTAGCAGTGCCAATGCAGGAATGGATCCATGAACCAATGTAGCAATGTACCAATGATTTGGCCCCATGATTGGTACAGAGGTTTTGTCCCAATCATGGGCTTGGTACATGTCCCAATCATGGGCCGAAATGAAGGGGACGTTGGTACGTTGGTACGGGTTTGGTTGTCCCATCATGCGCCGAAGTGGTTGGGACGTTGGTACGTCGGCATGGGCTTGGTTGTCCCAATCATTGTCACATCGAGTACACATGATAGAAGTCAGGGAATGCAGATAAATCATAGGATGCAGGAACTGCAGAAAAGGTAAGGGGAGGGATAGGCATGTACCCATATGTGCACATATATATATATGTACATACATATATATATATAGTTTATGAGACATACATATATATATATACATGATTATTTATCATAGATAACATATTCAACATATACAACACACACATATACTATATGTTTACATCGTATAGAACATATATATATATATATACTCATGTAAGACAACTAGGCGTCTAGGCGTGGGAAAGTGGTGCGTTGGGGGGTTGAAAGTCCCAAGTCAGGCGCGGCTCGTGAAGCTCATGCCAGAGCTGATGATTCTGGTCAAGGGCATGGCGGTGGCCTGCCGGTCGGTCTTCTTCACCCTGCTGCTTCTGCTGATCATCACCGCGCCATGGCGCAGAAGTCTCGGACTTTGTGAAGGAAAAAGGGCGCAAAATATGGGATTTCTTTTTAAAGAAAAAGGTGCAAGTCCAGGGTCATCTCCAGACCATCTTGAACGCCTTCCGACGTAGTTTGGGGGAGGAGTTCGGTTGACCCATTGGAAAACTGCGCATACCGGGGGAGCCTTCGCACCAGCTCCTACAGAGGTCATCTTTAGCATCAACTTCATCGAGTTTAGCCGCGGGTCTGCTCTTGAAGCGGTCTTCTTCGATTCACTGTGGAGCTCCATGGGCACGCTGCCGCCTGCCACGAAGAGTTGAGTTTGGATGAGGGTTTAGGGTTTAGGGTTTAGGGTTTAGGGTTTAGGGTTTAGGGTTTAGGGTTTAGGGTTTAGGGTTTAGGGTTTAGGGTTTAGGGTTTAGGGTTTAGGGTTTAGGGTTTAGGTTCCGCTGTCCCGTCCTCTCAGCCCCTGCGTTGATCTCCAGATATTCGGTACGGGATAGGCATTGCTTCCGAGTCGGCTTGCATGGGAGGGTGGTGTGGGCTTCTTCAGGGCACATCTCTTTTGTGCTGTGATTTCAGGCATCAAGGAGAAGCGACGAGTAAGACAAAGTCTACAAGACGTGCATGCATGCTGCTCGAGCAGGATTTCCGCAAAGCCCAGCTCGAGTTTTCGGAGGTCTCAGGGCCCAAAACCCAAGCACCTCAACAACCGGCAAGACCTGAAACCCCAAATCCTAAACCCTAAACCCATGTGCCCTAAACCCCCTCAAAACCCTCAAAAACCCTAAAACCCCTACAAACCCTAAATACCTAATAGCCCAAAATGCCCCAAAAACCCTTAAAAATCCTAAACCCCCTCAACCCCAAATCATCCTACCAAGCTTGTTAGATTTCAAGGATCCTCCACTGCATCCTGCCCGACCAAGAGGCGCAACCGCTTTGGACGAAATCCTAAGGACGAAGCTTACGGTTTGGGGTTTGGGGTTTAGGGTTTAGGGTTTAGGGTTTATTAATGGGTTGAAGGAGGGACCCCTGGAAGGGAACCTTAATCTTATTCCCCTATATAGCCCCTATGTAGTCCCTATATGCCTAAGTAGCGCCCAAGAAACCCCCAAAAAACTCCCTTACAAGGGTCCCTCCTTTCGTCCCTTGAGTTTAGGGAGTTTAGGGGTTAGGGTTCAAGGGGTTTGTTTGGGGCTTAGGTTTTCCGGTGTATTGTTTTCATGTTTGTATCTGGGTGTCCGAAACTTGGGGTGCGGGTTCAGGGGTTCCCAGGCCCAGAACAAGGATTAGAGTGATTGGGGTATGTTAGAGGTCCCCCTCTTCTGAGAATATGTTTTTTTATTATGTATTTATGTATAAATGTATATATGTATCATACGTATTAGGGTGCCAAAATAGGACCATCGTTCTGAAAGCAAGTGTAGTGATCAAGATAAAGTACATAATATTGTAAATAAAGGCTAGTGGTCAGGTGTTTCCCAACATTTGGGAGGACCCCACTATGTTTGGGTCATAAGCGGGGGACCGGAAGTTTCTAGCAACTCCTACACATACTGCAAGACTTGGCGTGACACCTTTTGCGGAAGTTTCGGATGAAGCTGGGCGTGCGACTGTCGATTCAGGCTTTGAGAGGTGTGCCATAAAGATACGAAAGGGGTCGGCAAAACTACTAATAGTAGTCCTTTCATGGTCCCTATTTAAGTATACTATACTAACCCCTCAAAACCCAATTTAAGGCCCCTATACTACCCAAACAGGGACCTTCGGCTTCGGCTTCCATCGTTTAGGGGTAGTTACATGGGCCCTTACCTCCTTCAAAGGGTTTAGGGTTTAGGGTTTAGGGTTTAGGGTTTAGGGTTTGGGGATGTATGCGCCCTTGGGTTTTGTCAAGAGACCATGTAGCTACCCGAAGACATCGGTTCATTTTTCGCTGAGGTCTTCTTTCGGTCCGTGGCGGCAGAGAGCGACGGCCTTGCTGTCCCTTGGTTGCTGTGAAGGAACTGAAAACTTGAGCTCCGTGCTCTCCTTTCCTAAACCCTGAACCCTACACCTTACACCCTAAAACCGTAAACCCTGCTACAGTAACTTCGTTGAAGTCCCTGAACCCCTAAACCGTAAACCCTAAACCCTGCGACAGTATCTTCGCTGAAGTTCCTGAACCCCTAGACTTTTAAACCCTAAACCCTAAACCCTAAACCCTAAACCCTAAACCCTAAACCCTAAACCCTAAACCCTAAACCCTAAACCCTAAACCCTAAACCCTAAACCTAAACCCTAAACCCTAAACCAGCAACCCCAGGTCTTGGTGATGCTGTTCATCCTGCTGGGCTCCTTCACGGCGGGGGCCTGTGTAGCTACAAGGCTTAGGGTTTAGGGTTAAGGGCTTAGGGTTTAGGGTTTAGGGTTTAGGGTTCAGGGTTCAGGGTTCAGGGTTCAGGGTTTAGGGTTTAGGGTTTAGGCTCTAAGGGTAGTTTCATGGGCCCTTAGTATGGTCCTTTACCTCCTTTAAAAGGGTTCGGATGTATAGGCCTTTATTTGCATAGGGCATATAAGGGGTATATTAAGGGGCCATGGAACTACCCTCAGAATCGCTGTAGAGGCGAAACAGACTCAAACAACTGCAGGGCTTACAGTAGGGTTTAGGGTTGTTGGCTTCTAGGGCTTTTTCTAGGGTTTTTTAGGGTTCCTAGGGTTTCTAGGGTTTTTTAGGGTTTCTAGGGTTTCTAGGGTTTCTTAGGGTTTCTAGGGTTTCTCAGGGTTGCTCCGAGGTCATGAACATGCTACTGGGCGTGTTGGTGGAAGCAGTCAAGACCGTCACGCTCATCGAGCGCGAGAACCTTGATGCAGAGGTGGCCCGAAAGGCCCCTTTGTCTCACTGTTGGTTTCGGGTTTCGGGTTTAGGGTTTAGGGTTTAGGGGGTTAGTAGGGAATGAGGGAATGAGGTGCCCTCTGTGTAACCCCCTTAAAGGGTATATATAGGCCTTCTTGCCGCGCACACTTGCTTTCGGTTTCTCGGAAAGTACCAGATACCTTACCCTCAAAGTATAGCTTCCCAAGCGAACACAAAGCACGCCAACAATTCCAGGGTGTTTGGTTTAGAGTTGGAATGATTCCCGCGAATACGAGCAGGCCTTAATAGGGATTATATAGTACCCCCTTATCATCATCCCTATTATGGACTCTTAGTATAAGAGGGAACATCTCAAGTTTAGAGGATGAGATAGCGTCACCTCCTCAGTTCTGGCCAGCTTGGGCATGTCCGCCACCCTTTCAACTTTGAGGTTTGGGGTTTAGGGTTTAGGGTTTAGGGGTTTAGGGTTTAGGGGTTTAGGGGTTTGAGGGGTTGAGGGTTGATGGGTTTAGGGGTTTAGGGTTTTAGGGGTTTAGGGGTTTACCGGCTTAGGGGTTTAGGGGTTTAGGGGTGTAGGGGTTTAGGGGTTTAGGGGTGTAGGGGTTTAGGGGTTTAGGGGCTTAGGGGTTTAGGGGTTTAGGGTTTAGAGTTTAGGGTTGTTACAGCGAGATGATTGATGCAGGTCTTGTCTCACGATACATTGCATCGGGTATCTTTGTGTTCCACATCCAAAAAACCCTAAAAACCTAAAACCCCAAACACTAAGGCATAAACCCCTAAACCCTAAAACCCCTAAACCCGAACACCCTAAAACTCTAAAACCCTAAAACCCTAAAACCCTAAAACCCTAAAACCCTAAAACCCTAAAACCCTAAAACCCTAAAACCCTAAAACCCTAAAACCCTAAAACCCTGAAACCCTGAAACCCTGAAACCCTGAAACTGAACCCTGAAACCCTGACCCTGAACCCTGAAACCCTGAAACCCTAACCTACCCCCCCCCCCCCCCCCCACCCCAAACCCTAAACCCCACCCTACAACCCAAAAACCCTAAAATCCTAAAACCCCAAACCCTAAACCCTAATACCCTAACACCCTAAAGCCCCAAACCCTAAACCCGAAAACCCTGGAACCCTAAGCCCTAAATCCTGATTACAACCCTCACACCCTACAACCCAAAAACCCTAAAATCCTAAACCCCAAAACCCCAAAATTCTGCAAACCCTAAACCCTAAACCTTACAACGCGGAAACCCTGAAACCCCAAACCCTAAACCCCAAACCCCAAACCCCAAACCCCAAACCCTAAACCCTAAACCCGAAGAGGTTCTCTGGGGCATGCTGGAGAAGGATGGCTCCGAGGATGATGAGCGCCTCATCACGCGGGAGGAGGGTGTAGGGTTTAGGGGTTTAGGGGTTTAGGGGTTTAGGGGTTTAGGGGTTTAGGGGTTTAGGGGTTTAGGGGTTTAGGGGTTTAGGGGTTTAGGGGTTTAGGGGTTTAGGGGTTTAGGGGTTTAGGGGTTTAGGGGTTTAGGGGTTTAGGGGTTTAGGGGTTTAGGGGTTTAGGGGTTTAGGGGTTTAGGGGTTTAGGGGTTTAGGGGTTTAGGGGTTTAGGGGTTTAGGGTTTAGGTTTAGGGTTTAGGGGTTTAGGGTTTAGGCTTTAGGCTTTTAGGGTTTAGGGTTTAGGGTTTAGGGTTTTAGGGTCTAGGGTTTCCCAACGGGTTCACTTACCAGGGACGGGATTTGTCGCAATTTTACAGGGTTTTGTGGCTTGAGTGTGTTGTGGGCGAAAGGTTTTGGGAGCATTCTTGAGGTTCAGTAAGTTCAGTAAGAAAAGGTATGGGCATGAGAGTGTTTTTAGGGGTTGAGGTTGAGGGTTGGTGTTTGGTGGTGCGTTGTCGTTGAGTTGTTTTTGCAGCTGCGGGTGCAGTGCAGGCACCCTGACAGGGCCCCACCCCAGTCCCCAACATGTGGGGGCTTCCGAAATTAGAGGTACCTTATGGGGTCCTTATTATAAGGGAAGCCAATCATATTTGGGCGACTATATTAGGGGTCCCTTATTTTCGTAAACCCCCATGTGGGTTGCGGTGTAGGCTACACGTAGTTTTGAGGGCTATCTTTTTTGACGAAAAGCCCTGAACCGTAAACCCTAAACCGCAAGCCCAGAAACTGAAACTTCTTGCGAACGGATTAGTGAGTGAGTCATGGACCATTTCACCCAGAGCATTCCCCGAGCAAGAGGAAAAACTGTCGAACTTACAGTGCAAGCCCCACTCTCTCAACATCAAACCCTGTAAGCCGAAACCAAGAAACCCCGACTTAAACAAAAGATTCGCAGAGTCATCCCCTAACCGCAGAAAGGACACACAATGATTTCCGGATTTCCTCGTCCTTGAACGTAACCAACCCCCCCCCCCCACCCCCCCCTCCCCCCCCCTCACCCCCCAAAAAACAAAGAACAGCGACGAGAACGACTAGCGCGTTTTCGTCAATTGCACCTCTGCGAAGGCAGTTAAGTGGCTGGTGAGAAACATCTGCAAAGACCAGCAGGCATGCGCTAGAATACGCCGCCTCAGCGTTTCCGAAACCCCTAGCGCTGAACTTCCACCCTAAACCCTAAACCCTAAACCCTAGACCCTAAACCCTAAACCCTAAACCCTAAACCCTAAACCCTAAACCCTAAACCCTAAACCCCCAAAAAACGGCCAGGAGTTCCAGGATCTGCTGGGCCACAAGAAGGCGGCAAAGGCGCTGGCCAGCATCGGGGTTGTGACTTGGCGGCCGAGTGGCATCATGGAGCTTTGAGCCGTCCGGGGGCTTCTTTTTTGGGGGGGGTTTAGGGTTTAGGGTTTAGGGTGGGAAAGGGGGGGAAGGGGGGTGGGGGGGGTCGTCGGAGGTTGGTAAGCAAGACACCTCCGCAAACCATCCAGATGCCTCGACACCTTGTTTTCTCATACCAAAATAGGAACGGGAACACCCCGCAGAAGTCACTTCTTCCGCTGAGGGTTTAGGGTGAGAAACCTATACTTCCCAAGTCACTAATTAACCTTCAGTGACGTCGCAGCACTGACGAGGCCATGACAGTTTGGGGGATAGCCTGCTTGCTGACGCCAGGATGTAATGGCTGCGGCAGACATTGGAAAGATGTTGTTCGAAGACGACGAAGCCATCCTGTTCTTGGACTTTATGCTACCTGGCTATGGCTAAGGGCTTGGGGTTTAGGGTAGAGCCCTTGCGATGTTGCTCATAAAATGCCAACAGTCCTTCAACTATGATCCCTTTTAAGGACTGTTTGTGTAAGGGGGAACATCCCAATGGAGCCCTTCCAAGCACACAGTGTACACGCGGGCAGACCTTCTTTTTCAGAGTTAGGGTTGTGTATGTCAGAGAGAATGGCTTTGCCGCGCTTTGATTTGTCGCTACAATTGCTGCCAATGGTCACAGGACAAAGTGTCGAAAGGGGTGTCAAAGTAGAATAGCAAGGTAGTTATGCACAAACCTTGTTGGATGAGGTTCCGACGACCTCGTTGCTAGGGGCCCCCTCTATGAAAAGACAGGTCTCCAGACTTAAGTAGTGTCCGGCGACAGTTGTCTATGCATGCATACCGACGTACATGCGCGCGAATGCTGTCAATGTCTCGCTTCTGCCACCTCTTGGTGCTCTGTGCGATCTGTCGTGTTGCTGCTGGCAATGCAAGTCGATGCAAACTGCGTCAACCATATCAGCCTAAACCTCAGTAAGCCGGGAACACCGTGGACCCGAAACCCCAAACCCCTGAACCCCTCAACCCGTGAACCCCCAAACCCCTGAACCCCTTAACCCCTAAACCCGCAACCCCTATCCCCCCAAACCCCTGAGCCCCCAATCCTCTACACCCCAAACCCCTGTAACCCTAAGCGTGCTAATTATTGTTTATTGTACATGTGTATACATAGAAGTGCTACATTAAATTGCATTCTTGTATGTTATATGTTGTACTCTGTTCTGTTCTGTTATGTTACGCTACGTTACGCTGTGTTGTGTCGTGTTGTGTTATGTTATGTTACGCTATGCTGCGTTACGTTATGTTATGTTATGTCACTCTATGTTCTGTTATACTAACATATAACATTGTATTTCGTTGTGTGATGGTACGGTCGGTTATGCTGTACTACCATGTACGAAACGTACTACACGTTGCATAGTTCAGGAGGGCCTGCAATGCTGAGCTCTTAGGTCTGCCATGCTGACGCTACGAGGTTCGAACAAGACGACCGTCAAGGACCATTCGCCCGATAGAAAGCTGTTATTGAGTAGGGTCTGAGCAGGAGACCGTTCTTAACCTTGAACCTTTGGTAATCTTGCCGGGTAAACTCCCTGCCAAGCCCACAGGTTAGCCATGTTCCCCGTAGTTAGCTTAGCCTCTCTAAGAAAAGGAAGGTTATTGCAAGAACAGTGTGGTCAAGAATCAGAAGCCTACTTGCCCACTGTGGTTTAAACAGTTGCAGAAGATGCAATCGAAGAACAAACTGCGCTTTCACCTATGTTGTTGGTTCATAGTGGTCGCCAGCTGCTTCCGCAGGAATGCATGTGACTTCACGGACCAGAACTGAAATAATCCAGTGCTTGCCTAGGACTCCCCAGTACTATTCTCGTTGCACTTTGGTAGGGCGATGTTCCCTTATAAGGCAAACACCATCAAAAAACAACAAAGCGTTTTCCCTTCAAGTGGAACCTAGTCGCTGAACAGGCAAATGCTGAGCCCCGACAGCAGTTGTAGTGAATGTCGTGGCCACAGTCGTAGGAAAGTTTTGTCGTCATTCTTGGCAGTATGTGTAGAACAAGTAGCACCTGCAATGATGAAATACTCGGTATGACTGGCCCAGCGCATCCTTTCAGGCGGTGCTTGCCTGCGTCTGACATCAAAACTCAGTAGTTCAGGGTTTAGGGTGTCGGGTGAGGGTTTAGGGTTTAGGGTTTAGGGTTTAGGGTTTCGGGTTAGGGTTCAGGGCTTAGGGACGTTTCAGGACATCGTCGAGCTGCGGAAGTATGTGGCCGAAGAGTTCTTGAAGGTCCACTCACTTGTGGGTCACACGGCTTTGATATTTGCGCGAGCCCTTTGCTTGTCGTGATGAAATGAAGTTTTCTGCAAGCAAGCGGTTGAATTGAACGCGTTAGCATGGAAGACTAAGATAGGACCTCAGTTCTATTTCGTTGCATTCCAGAACTGAAGCAATGGTCGACTGGGATTGTTTTGGAGCTTTCGTCCTATCTGACGGTCAAAGTAGGTTTCGTCATGGACATTACCTACCCAGTCGCCGTGCAAACGTTGAATATGTTGAGTGCTGGTCATCAGGTTGGAACATCCTTTGTGTAGGTGTCTGCTCGTGGTCGACTTCCCCCTCACTCAACGCCCCTAGCATCAGCAGCAGCACCACCGTTAGCACATCGTCGCCCATCGTCATTCTGGCACGGTCATCATCTTCATCACCTGCATCAGCACTCGTAGAGCCCCGTCCTGTGCAAGCAGTGTGCTGTGGTTTGGCAATATGTGCCTGTTCCTGTCCTCAATCTGTAAGAGCAGGCCGCTTGCTCTGAAGTTCGTCCATCGCCATGCCTGGCTGTCTGAGGCGAACTGTGTGGCTTCTTGGCAGAACACCTGGAACCGGTTGGGCCACTGCAGGATGAGGACAAATTCAGGCTGCGTGGCTGTGTATGCTGCGTTCGGAACAGGGACAACGAGAGGGTGTTTATCACATGAAAGCATAAGGTTTAGATAATATAGTAGAATGGAATATAGTACTATACAGACAGAGTGATATGGACCAAAAAACATATCTACCAGAATAGACAGTATGTCATGCATTTGAATATACTTACTATACAACAGAAATACATATGCAACTATATATATATATATATATGTGAATATATATATATATACACACATATATATATCCATACATACAGACATCTACACACACATATATATGTGTATGTATTCTGTATATGTATATGTATGTGTATATCTATCTATATATATATATATATTTGCACATATCTTTCGTGCGTGTGTGTAAGGGCAGGCATGGCCTTGGTTGGGTGACTTTGTACTCCGCTCCCCTTGCCACACGACCCGAACTCCTTCGGCATTCGCAGGGTCCCTAAGCCCTAAACCCTAAACCCCTGAACCCCTGAACCCCTGAACCCCTAACCCCTAAACCCCCAAACCCCTGAGCCCCTAAACCCCGAACCCCTTCCGTTCTTCCCACAAGGCGCGATGCATCTCCAACAGACCTGGACTAGTTGCGACCAGGATTTTCCTTGCTACTTTTTTTGGATTTAAGGGGCCTGCAGGGTTGTGGGGTTTATGGGTTTTGCAGGGTTTATGGGCCTTGTGGGGATTGTATTATCAGCTTTGTAGAGCTTATGTGGTTTATAGGGTTTTGAGGATGGCCTTGCGGGCGTTAGGGGCTTTATTGTGTGGAACTGCCGGCCCTTGTGCTGGCCCAGAGGCCTCCGCTGCACGCGCACAGCTTTTTAAGCAACCCTGTACGACGTGCAGGTTGACAGGTTGATTTCACCTTCAGCCGTGATAAAAGGCTGCTCCCTCTTCTTTCCAAGGCCTTGCAAGCAGCTTCTTCACAAGCCCGGTAGCTAGGCAGAGTACTGAGAATGTGGTGCAACATGTTTCCCAACCGAGTCCGAGCTGTTGTCCGACTGACATCACCAAAAGCTTTCAAGACTTCGTTCTCCTCGGTCGGCCTGACTGAGGCCAATTCACGCTTCAAAAGAGGCGATCAGCAGCATGCCTAATCCCCTGATTGTCTGCCATGGCTGCTGCAGTTCATCGAAGATGAAGAAGCTGTTGCCATTTCATTTTTGGGGGTATTCCCCCTGAGGCAGCGTTCCGCTTGCCATTTCAACTAGCTAGGGGCCTTCCAATGCAAGATCCTGCTGGGCTCATTGCGACGTTGCGTGGCAAATCAGATTCAGACCCTAAACCCTAAACACCCTAAACCCTAAACCCTAAAACCTAATGCTGCAATCAGACTCGAATGGCTGCTTGCACCGGAGCCGCAAAACCCTTCATCCCGTGCTTTGCAGTGTCAACGCTGACCAGCTCGACACGGAGAACCGTGGCCGACTGGTCCACGTCCAGGCACCTGTTGTTTTCAGGATGAGGCTCCTTGTAAACCCCATCAAAGTCGGGTAGGCTTGATATTGGTATCATGCTACAGACGCCCTACCGAACGACCATGGAACGTCATGCAGTGCGCCTGGCACTCAAAAAATGCAAGTCTTAAGCCCATGCCCCTTTGACAGGGCACGCGGTTGGAACGCTTTTGCTACGTAGTCATTAAATGCAGTATGGTAGAGCACAGCTCCAGACGATAAAGCTGGACACGGTAGAGACACGGAAGCGCTGGCGCTAACACACCCAAGGTCCGCCCAACAGACTATGTTAAAACCTTGAGTGGTCCATGTCTTTGGGGCTTGAGTTTTCGGGAGCTAGTTACACAAAGTCCCCTTGGCAGTTCTCTGTACGACGAGAGCAGCACCCCATGCAGAGACAGCGGAAGACTGGCTTCATTTTATCGGAATGTCGTATACTTCCTTTGTGTGGAAATTGTAAACCTTCACACACTTGAATTTGCCAGTACACGAACTCAGCCCAAACGCCTTAACGAAAGCATGACGGAACTAACCCCATACTTTCCTCTTGGCGCGCCACTACGTGCTAGAAATTTAGAACGCCCAACATGTCCAGGACTTTCGGATCCAGGGACCAAGCCCCAGGGTTTGGGGTTTGGGGTTTAGGGTTTAGGGTTTAGGGCTACCAGAGTCCCATCCCACCACCGGGGGCAAGGGACGAGCGGCCGGCAAGATTGCTTGTGTGGACCCCCAGTTCCAGGACTCTTCTGAGTGTATGGAAGTTGAGGCTTCAGAGGGTTTAGGGTTTAGGGTTTAGGGGCTGTAGGGGCATTTCGCAAGTTTGCATCTCGACCCCCCATCCGCTCCCGCAGAGCCTGGTACAAGCGGAGCTCAAGAGCAGGATATGTTGGGACGCTCCCCCTGATACTAACAGCCCTTAATAGGATTATAGTAACCCCCCCCCATTACAATCCCTATGAAGGACTGTTAGTAGAAGCGGGAACATCCCAAAGGATATGGCTTGAGCACTTCGCTCTTGTAGGCGTATGAATCATAGCATGAGCACATTCACGATGAACTTCCTTTAGGGTTCAACTGCTTCATAGACACCTAAACCCTAAACCCTAAACCCTAAACCCTAAACCCTAAACCCTAAACCCTAAACCCTAAACCCTAAACCCTAACCCTAAACCCTACATGGTGGACAAGAATGTTGCAAGCTCATCCCCCGGATAGTTAGAAAACTTCGACGCCACCGCAGGACGCCCTGGTCCAAGGCTGCCTCAAGCTTCAGAGCACTTTGGAGGCTACAGGGAGGGAGCAGCAAGTGCCCTTAAAGATCAAAAGAAGCCCTAAACCCTAAACCCTAAACCCTAAACCCTAAACCCTAAACCCTAAACCCTAAACCCTAAACCCTAAACCCTAAACCCTAAACCCTAAACGCAGAAAGCATGTCGGCACCGGTGCCCGCGGAAACTGACCAAGTATCCTTGGCTCCTGCCTTGCCCATGCACTGTGCATGCACCGAACGGAACTGTAGGGTTTAGGGTTTAGGGTTTAGGGTTTAGGGTTTAGGCTTTAGGGTTCAGGGTTTAGGGTTTAGGGTTTAGGGTTTAGGGTTTAGGGCTTCTTTTGATATTGAAGGGCACTTGCTGGAATCGGGGGAGGGGGATGTTCGATTACTCACACATGACAGATCCACATCTGCGCTGTTCCTACATGCCGCTTGATGGTTTCATGGTGCAGTTTCTGGTATTCTTGTGGTTTCCTCTTGGCGGTTTCTGTGTCAACCCCGTTTGGGGCTCCATTGCATAGGCCCACTGCCCGTTTCAGGTTGCCCCTGGTTGTCGTTACTGCTCGGCCTTCCAGTTTCCGAGCCCTGCACCCCTAGAGCCCTGCCGCTGCAAAGCCAAGTTGCAGTGGCAAAGGCATTCGTCGTGTTAGGGTTTAGGGTTTAGGGTTTAGGGTTTAGGGTTTAGGGTTTAGGGTTTAGGGTTTAGGGTTTAGGGTTTAGGGTTTAGGGTTTGGGGTTGATACCTGCGCAGGTGTTCGAATGGGTGCCGACTGCAACCTTCGTCAAGGACGACCGACTTAAGTGTGCCGCAACCTGTATGCCATGCAGCATGTCTCAGACAAAGTCTGGAAAGCTAGAATGTTATGGATTTGCTGCAGCTGGCACAGGAGGCCACAGGACAACCTCGACATAGCACAGAGTGGACAACCTCCCACCACGACTCTTCCCGGTTTAGGCGGATTGTGGGTAGTGCGAGCAGGGTCTGAGTTCAGGTCGGCAGATGTCAAGCAGCGGCGACACAGTAGCATCAGAACACAATACCGGACATTGTCAAATTCAATGCTTCTAAAGCATTTTTGAGTTGTGTTTGTCTCAGCTGTCACCTATTAGCTCAACGACCAGGGCAATTGCATGTGTCCACCGAGCTCAGAAGCTGCGAGGCAGCCAAGTCCGCAGAATCCGCGGTTGCCGGCGCCGCTCTCTCAGATCAAGCTTTTTGGCGGGCAGGTCTTACAAGCTCCTATGCCAAAGCTCACAAGCCATCAGCAGCTGGACACTTACTGCACATGTTTTCTCAAAGACAACCTGCATTTGAGATACGCATGTTGCCAGGATGGTTGGTTTCACAGCTTCCCGCTTCACCTTTCAAGCTACTTCAAGGATCAGGGGACTTAGGTAAGTGGCGTTCTAAGCAAGGTAACTATACTTTGACTTACTTATAACCGCAATTAAGGTATGTATAGCCCTACTTACTAAGTGCCCCCCGCTCCTCCGAGTAGTCCCAAAACACCTCAAGTCTGCCCCTGAGCCATCCCAAGTCACGGGCATGCTCCACTTGGAGGTTCATGGTACTTATAGGAACCCAAGTAAAGCTGTACTTATCACCCAAGTAGAACCATTTTAGGGCACTTAAAAAGGGCTTTTAAGATCTTAGAAGCGGGTCATAAGTACAGTGATAGTTGGGTTATAGAAGTACCAGGGGACTTGTCCTGGGCACCCGGACGACGACGTCGCCCAAAGCGGAGCTTGGCGTCTTCCATCTCTCGGAGGACTGGCTTCCTCACCTTACTGTTGGTTAGCAGGGAATGAGGGAATGAGGGCCCTATGTATATCCTTTAAGGGATTCTAGTAGGGCCCTAGATATACCCGTTAAGGGGTTATATTAGGGTTTTTTGTATATATATATACCCTTTAAGGGATGATACGGGGCACCTCATTCCCCCATTCCCTACGAACCAACAGTAAGTCACAGATGGGGCTGTTCTGAACTAGGGGCTCTTTTGGCGTCCCCGATGTACTTCAGCCCCATATATCAAAGAAAAAGATGGTGCCCAAGAAGCGAATAACCCATGGAGGGGTTGTTCTACATCCGGATCCCTTTCAGGGGTCCGTATTGTGAGTGTGTCAAAACATACTCATACAGGGACCTGCAAAACAGCACCGCACCCGCATGGCTCAACGTGACGGCATGTAGGGCACATTTTCTTAGGTCTTACATGCTATGGGGGTTTAGGGTTTAGGGTTTGGGGTTTAGGATTTAGGGTTTGAGCCTGGCACGGTGAGAAGTGCGCTCGGTTCCAATAAAATTTGCAGCCGCCGCTTTTGATGAAACCCACATGTGAAGGCAAGACGGCACTTCAATCACGAGAATATTCCAAAAATGACTGTATGGTAATGTCGTAATAGAATCCAAGAGTATAATCACATATGAATAAGTTCGGAAAAGAACTAGCAGAGTGCTTGAGCATGGCATGTGCGGCCGTTCTCGCCACACTCAGCCATGCAGCTCCGATACCACGCCGATCCCAATCTAAAGGCAGGGTGTCCGGGGGGTTCAAATGAACCCAAAAAGGGTTTATGGTTCATATACCTTAGTAGGAACGATAGTAGTACAAGGTATGTATGACCCCAATTTGAGGGTTCATTCGGTCCCCAAAGTTGCGCAAGCTCCGAAACGCGGGATGGATCGCCGATGGATCACTTCACTTGGGCCATCCAAGTTGCATGCCAGGCTCCTGCGGAGTCGACATCTTCACCAGGGAGTGTGCTTCGTTGCTTGCAGCCTGCCTGCGCATAGCAGCTTGCAGTTCCAGTTTGCCAGTGGGACCAGCAGCTACTCAACATAAGAGCGTACCAGAACTTTCCCAATGTGTTTGCGCCAGACGACCTCCTACGCAAGCATGAAAGTCATGCGAGGTAGCTTAAATTTCGGCCCTCTCCCCTCCGAAGAGGCTCGATTTCGGAACAACCACAAGTGTTCGTGGGCCATTCGTGGGTAGTTAGCTTCAACTGGGGCTTTAAGTAGGGTGAGTAACTACGCTGGTCTCACTCGAGTGTACTTGTATCCCAATATGCGCAGTACCTGTCCGATGAGCCTTCAAGTTGCCTGTAAGCCCCAGGACCCTGCAACCCTATAAGCGAGAGAGAGAGAGAGAGATAAATAAATAAATAGAATATATATATATATATATATATGTATGTATGTATGTATGTATATGTATATATATATGTATATGTATATATACATATGTACATACATATATATATATATATATGTATGTATATGTATGTCTGTATATACATATGTGTGTATATATATATATATATATAACCCTAATCCTTGAGGCTTGACTTGGGCGATGCCCCAGACCGGGCCGAGCTCCAGGAAGTCCTTCGCGCGCCGATGAATGCTTGGTCCAAGCGGCCCCAAGAAGTCACAAGGGCCCTCAAGCTGCAGGGTTTAGGGTTTAGGGTTGGGGTTTAGGGTTTAGGGTTTAGGGTTTAGGGTTGGGTTTAGGGTTTAGGGTTTAGGGTTTAGGGTTTAGGGTTCAGGGTTCAGGGTTTAGGGTTTAGGGTTTAGGGTTTAGGGTTTAGGGTTCAGGGTTTAGGGTTTAGGGTTTAGGGTTTAGGGTTTAGGGTGTTACTATTCCCGGTCATCATGCGATGTTTCCTTGCATTGTGTAATCTTGCCTTATCCAGTAATGTTGGACACGCATGAATAGGCCCCACCCCTCCATACAGTCAAGTTGCCCGGGCTTTTCAGACCCTGTGACTGTTTGGTGGTCCAGAGTGAAATCCTCTGTTTGGAAGCCAACTTGAAGCCGATGCCCCTGGCTTAAAGGCAGGGCCTCCGAATCTCAAAGGAAAGCCTTCTTTCCAAGACCCCGAAAACCCGCAATCCCAACTGACACGAAATCAAGAACTCCCTTTTTCGAAAAACGATCTAAGAAGTTGTTTCCATCCATCCGGCAAAGGGGCGTTCCAGGAGCCAGGGTGGCCCAGGAGCCCGCCTAACCTCCTCTGTTGGGTTTAGGGTTTAGGGTTCAGGGTTCAGGGTTTTGGGTTTCGGGTTCAGGGTTTAGGGTTAAGGGTTTAGGGTTTAGGGTGGGACCCGCTTTCATGTCCTGGCCCCCTGGATGTCGATGTCCTCGCCTCTTGGCTTAGAGGCAGGGCCTCTGAATCTTAGAGGCAAGCCTTCTTTCCAAGACGACGAAACCTGGAATCCCAACTGAGCCGAAACCACCAATTCCCTTTTGTGTTTAAAAGCCATATAAGAATTGTCTTGATCAATCCGGCAAAGGGGGGGTCCAGGAGCCAGCCTCACTCCTGTAATGGGCACTGTTTCGGGATCCGCTTTAGTGTCCCGGCCCCTGGCCCGGGGTCTGGATTTTGAAGTCCCGGCCTCTTGGGTTAACGGCCAAGCTCGTGAAATTTTAAGCAAAGCAAGCTTTGAATTTCCGAACCCTTTTGGGTTAAAAGCCCATCTATTGAAATATTAAGCCCAGCGAGCTTCGGAATCCTCTGCCGTGGCCTCGTGTCTTGAAAGGGAGAGACCGTCCCTAAGCCTGCAGCCTTTCTTCTTATCTACTCCCCCCTAAATAAATGTAAACTCTTCCTCATTAAACCTTCCGAAATCCCCAGGCAGTTTATAAAAAAAACTATTTGTGAAGCGCTCTTTCCGCGCGCCCGGCATTTTGAGGTGCTGAGCGGGCTGGCCAGGGAACGCCGACACTGGACCAGCTTTCACCTGCTCCACGTGCTGCAGAATGCCAGCTTGCAATTGAACCAGTGCCAAAGCTGCAAAAGCGTTCTTATATATTTAAAAGAGTTCTTATATCTTTACGATATCTTGTGCTGTTTTCTAGTGGTGTGATTTCCCACTGCTTCTTCATCATTACAGATGCTAAATGTTGCGCGGCTGTGTTCTACGTTCATGACATGTGGGTTGCTTGACAAGGGCTTCTTGCACCTGCGTCTCCCCACGTATTCAGGTACCACTTCTCTACGGCACTCGGAGCGTGCGTTGGCTGCTGGAGCTTGGCCTTGCAGATCTTGGGGATGATGACAGACACGGCTGTGGTGCCTTCTGTCATCTGCCACTCGCTTGCAGATGTTTCAGAACCTTCTTAGCCCACTTGTGTGCGCAGGTTCGACCAAGCCCCACCCATCCCCGCGACCTAACGGCGTGTTCGAGCGTTGCAGGGCTCGCTGGTTTGCGTAATGATCCGGGTTGTCATCTTCAGTGTGGCTGTGGCGGCTGGTTCTTGCGAGATGCTGTGCTAGGTATGAATTCAGCGATCAGTGCTTTGGAGAAGGCAGGCAAGTGGCAACTGTCATTGCTGCTTTTCTCCTCAATGATGCAGCTTGTCTGCGCTTGCCATTCAAGACTCCCATGCTCGCACTGATTTTTGTCTCACACACAGCCGCGGTCAAATCGATGTGGTGTTTGCATGTTTTTGGGTGCGAACACAGCCGTCCCCGCTTTGATGTTGACACTACTTTCGAGGTCATGAGTCATGTCATTGCCATATGTCGAGTCTCCTGTTCTCTGAGGCATGCCTATGATGTGCTGCCTGATGCTTAGTAGTAGAGTAGATCACCTTTAACCTTTTTGGGGTATTCTAATCCCTATAGAATCCAAAAGGTTAACCTTTAGCTCCCCTACGTTACTGGACAACTAAGGATGTGGTGAGCTTCAACTCGGCCATTAGTGCATGCAGCCGGGGAAGTGAATGGCAGACGGCCCTGGGTCTGCTGAGCCCCTAGGCATGCCATGAATATTTGCCACAGTGCACATGGCAAGGCTTGCTGCGACGTGATGACAGGGTTCACAGCTTCCAGCAAGAGGCAGACATGTTTACTAGAGGTTACCTATGTTTACCGGCAGCTTCTGCAAACTACCCTGAACAACTGAAACCCTAAAGCCTACAAACCCTAAAGCACCACAGTACGTGGGAGGGGTTTCTCGTTTAGGGGCCCTTTTCCGTACCCTAAACTGTGAAGTAGAGACCCCAGAAGGGGCCCCATATGTTCGAGCACGTAAAACCCCATAAATCCTGTAAACTCTATAAGCCATCAGCCCTGTAAAGTCCCATAGGCACCATGAGCCCCTGGGCCCTAAACCCCAAACAGCAAAGCTACGTTAAACCGTTAAGCAGGTTTCATATTATTGCTTTTGGTGGCTGTATATAGGGTTCCATATGCACACTGGTGTGTGCGCGTGTATATATATATATATATGTGTATTGGGTGTCCTCTAGATCCTAAGCCTCATATAGGTACACACAAGCTGTATATAGGGCAGAAGGAGTACAAGTCCCTTCTTTGGGGTCTCAAATACGTCTTACGCCACATGTTGAAACCGCTATACCCTAGACCCTAAACCCTAAACCCTAAACCCTAAACCCTAAACCCTAAACCCTAAACCCTAAACCCTAAACCGAGGCCGCGTCGAGAAGCGAAGACTGGAACCTGACAGCGTCACGTTCAACTCGGTGGCCTGGAGAGATTAATTCTAGGGGTCGGAATAATTACTAGCAGTCTTAGGGTTTAGGGTTTATGGTTTAGGGTCTAGGGTTTAGGGTCCTTAGGGTGCCTTTGTAATTATACTATAATACCCCCCCCCCCCTCTCCAAAAAAAAAAAAAAACATTCTAATCACTACGGCCCCTATGTTATGCATGTCGGGTTTGGGGCCAGTTGAGGGTTTGGAGGCTTCAGGGTTCGGGTTCTAGTTGAGGTTTGAGGGGTCAGGGTTTAAAGTAAGGGTCTTGGGGTTTAAGTTAGGGTGTGAGGACCTAAGGTCTCAAGGATGTCTTTGCTTTCCAAGATCGCAGAAAAACCCTACATAAGAGTTTAGGGTTACTGAGCCCGAAACACAACGTCTCTGGCATCACCCACGCTCACCGTCACAGCGCGCTTTGGCGGTGACGCAGCTTGTAACCTCATACGAAGCAGGGTTTATACTACTGTTTTTGGTGAGTGTATATAAGGTTCCTTTTTAATATTGGTGAGTGTATATCTTGGGTGTCCTTTTGGGGGTACAAGAAATATACCCTACTTCATATCCATGCAAGTGGGTAGCTGATGAAGTCTACGCGTTTTTGGTGCTCCAAATCGACTGTAGGGAATACTGCCACACTACACATCGGGGCCCGGGACTTAGAGCCATAAAAAAAGAAACCCCAAAGGCACCTCCGCCTCCGAAATAAACGGTCGCACACATATTGAGGCCTACATCAAAACTCCTACATCAGAAAGCCGAACGTTGCGATAGGGCGGATAGGGGGAAGGGGGTGAGTATCGCTGCTGGTTCCTAAGGTCCTATAGAGCCTAAGCCCGGCTAATTCCGGGCTTAGGGCTTACGTCTATTCCGGTGCCAAGCTTCGAGTTTCTGCAATAGTCGCGGCCTGCCCTAAGCCGTGAACCCTAAACCCTGAAGTGGACACAACACCACACACGTCGGGTTGAACCCTGAACCCTAAACGCCTACACCCTAAACCCTAAACCCTCAACCCTAAACCCTAAACCCTAAACCCAGGTTTTAGGCTCCCAGGCCATGGCTTCGTTGGTTTCAACTGGGCTATGGGAGCTCTCCCTGCTGCTGCTGACGACGACATGGGCTCAGTTTCTCGGGGTTTAGGGTTCAGGGTTCAGGGTTTTGACAATCTAGGGCTTAGGGATGTTTAGGGTTTAGGGAGTCTAGGCTTGAGTGTTTGCTTAAGGAGGAGTTTAGGATGTAGTTTGGGGTGAGAACATGTAGCTTGACCAGAGAAGTCAGAAGAAAGAGTGAGAAATAAGGTTGCTAGTTAGTAGCTGCAGCAATGTAAGCGTAGTGGTTTGGGTAGTGGCGGGGAGTGGGGCGCGGTGGTGTGCTGACGACACTAGTGGTTGCGGTGGTCGACGCGGCCGTCACAGCCGTCACAGCTGTACTATTGGTACAGCTGTAGTTGTTCGGGAGGTGGCAAGGTTTGTTCATGGCTATCCAAACCACAATCGTAAGTTTCACGTGCAAAGTACGTGCCCTAAAAAGGTCGGCATGCCGAGCAAGAATCATCAAGCAGCCTTGGGTCAGCACACAAGGATGCAGCAGGACAACGTGGTCCCGGATCTGATCAGCTTCAACACCTCAATCAGCGCCTGCGCGGGCAGTGGCAATTGGCAGGCTGCCCTCTCTTTGCTGCAGTGGCTTCAGGCTTCCCTCCTGAGGCCGGTACGTGCCTGTCAAAAGGTTTTCGCTTCCATATTGGGGTTTCCGAGTTTAGGGGTACCTTATTGGGTCCTATCTGAAGGGAAATCCTACTATTTGGGGGACTCTATTGGGGGTCCCTATTTTCGTAAACCCCCATATAACGTTGCAGACGCTGCCGCCTTCAGCGTGAAGGGCCTTTTTTGTGGGTGGCGATTATATCCCAGAATGAGATGCAGGTTTGTGCTTTAGAGAGGCAAAAAGCCCGCTGGACTGTGCATGTTCGGGGAAGATTCCATTCCCATGCAGGCTTGTGAAATTACCATGCGTTCGCACCTGATCGAAAGCAGCACCTGCAACCCTTTGCCAGGCAAGACCACTTCACTTACAGCTCCGTGCTGCGTGCGTGCGAATCTCATGGTCATTGGCAAGTCTCGATCAGCTTGCTCGCTGGTATGTTGGAGGACTGCATGACACACATCGAACCACGCTGTCTCGCAGCGTGCATCCCCTTAGGAGCACTTCCTTGCAACCTAATTGCTATCTCCACTCCTGCAGCCTGAATGTGGAAGGCCCTAAACCTTAAACCCTAAACCCTAAACCCTAAACCCCAGAGACTTGATGGGCCCAGGACTTGGCAGACCCACAGCCCATGTGCTACCGAAGCGTGATCAGTGCCTGTGAGCAAAGCAGCAACTGGGAGATGGCCCTCTGCCTGCTGGAACTTCATGAGGCCATGAGGATGGGAAGGAAAACCTGTGACGGGAAGAGAATACGATGAATCTCTTGTTGGTGGGAGCCGTTTGATTTGCTGCATGTGCGTGTGCGTGTGTGTGGGTGTGTGCGTGTGTGTATGTGTGTGTGTGTGCACGTGGCCTTTCATCAATTTCCTCTCCAGTTAGTCGCATGCTAATCGAAGCCCAATTTCCAGAAACCTACAGAGTCCGGCCTGCATCAGTGCTCGTCAGGGTCCCCAATAGTTGCTCTAAGTACCTGCTGATGTATGAGGGTTCCTATTCAAGGGACCGAAGGGGGCCGCAATAAACAACAATCTTCGCACGAACCTTCACTGGTAGGGCTAAAGTTGAAGGCTTCAGCAAGCATGTGAAGCGACGAAGCTCGAAGACCGAAAAAAGTCAAGAAAACAGTGATGCAGAGCAGGTGCATGACATGCACCAAAAAAGAGACCCTAGTGTAGAACAAGCCCCAAGCAAATTCGCTAACCGCGGCTTTTGCACACGGTGCAGGGGGACGTGATGGGCTACAGCGCAGCTATCAGCGCCACTGCGAAGGCAAAATCTTCGCCCCCTGTGGGGCCAAGGGCTTAGGCTCTGAATGACTTTCTAAGGGTTGTTATAAGGGCCCTTACTTTAAAGGGTTCTGAAGTATGGGCCCTTGGGTTGTAAAGGGGCCACCTTTTCAAGGACCATATTAAGGCCATGTGTCTAAACCCTAAACCCTAAACCCTAAGCCCTAAGCCCTAAACCCTAAGGGACCCCAAGAGACTTGAAGATGTGGCAGGCTGCCAAGTGGCGAGCAGCCCTTTTTCTGCTGGGCGTTGGCATGCAGGCTGCGAAGGCCCTCCACACCTCTGGCTTGTTCCCAAACAGCCCAAAGCAAGGGTCCATTGAGACCGAACAAAATCAAAGTCAGTTTTAACCAAAAAATCATACATATGTGTATATATATGTAGATATGTATAGCATATATCTACGTACAGGGAGACAGT